TGGACTGACCAGAGACACTGGATTTATGGTTTATTAAAACAATCTGTAATCCACTAACCCCTTCTCTTTGTCCTATGACTGCAGAGGTGTTAGCGGGCTACTCTACCGTGAATAGGCTCCTACAATATGTTCTAACTACTTATGCTCAACAATCTGTTCCACCTTGCATTTTTGCTGCGACGCTGGGAGTACCTTTCCCAGACCAGAAGAAGAGCTCTGTGCAGCTCAAAAGCTTGTCTCTCTCGCCAACAGAAGGTGATCCAATAAAAGATATTACCTCTCCCACCTTGTCTCTCTACTATCCTGGGACCGACATGACTACAACTACACTATGTGTTTAGGGCTATTCAGTTGAGAAACCAGAAAAAAGGAGTGGATGAAACAAAGTCGTGTGTGGGACACAGACGTGCAGTGGGGCACTCCTATTTGTACTCTGGTAATTCAAAGAAAAGGCAGATATTTGAGGAAACTGAAAGGCGACAAGATGAAAACTGATACAAGGAATTTTTTTTAAATGCAGCACGCAAACTGTGGAACTCATTGCCACAAGATATTATGGAGCTCAAGAACTTAGTAGGATTCAAAAAGACTCTGACGTTATGACAATGGTAATTTTAGCTAACGAGAACATCCAGAGTTACAGTAGACAAGGCTTATCTTATAAAAGCAGATTAAAAGAGCTGGGCTTGTTTAACCTAGGAAAATGAAGGCTGAGTGGGGATCTGATTGCTCTCTATAAATACAAAAGGGGGTAAACACCAGGGAGGGAGACGAACTGTTTAAGCTAAAGGACAGTGTTGGCACAAGAACAAATAGGTATAATCAGGGCCGGCTCCAGGCATGAGACGAGAAAGCACATGCCTGGGGCGGCACATTGTAAGGGGTGGCATTCCGGCCAATCTTGGGGCGGCACATTCCGGCCGCCTTGCCGTGGTTCTTTTTTTTTTTTTTTTTTTTTTTGGCAGCCTGGTCCACAGCTCCGGAGCCCCCGGCCAGCTCCCCACGCTCCGCCAGTCCCAGCCCCGGCCTGCAGGGGCACGGACCCCGGCCCGGGGGGGCAGGAACTAGCGATCCCCGCCGCTCACCGTGCCGCCGGGCTCCCCGGGACGCGCCACTCCCCACCGCTTGCACTGGCCTCCGCCTCCCACGCCGCTCTGAGCCCGGCCTGGCTGAGCTGCCTTTAAAGGAGCGGCTGAGCCAGCACCTCCTGCAGCCCCTGGGGGCTCCGCCTGCCTTGCCAGGAAAGGCACCCCAAGGCCGGAGGGGGGAGCCCCTCTCGCCCGGCTGCGAGCGGGCTGCAGCCCCTGGCTGCTCTCGGGAGGAGGGAGTGGGTGGACACCGCCCTTTATCCCCCTGCGAGCCACCTTGACCGCCCTCCACGCGCTCCCTGCAGCTGCCGTTTTTTGTTTTTGTTTTGCTTGGGGCAGCAAAAAAGCTAGAGCCAGCCCTCGGTATAATCTGGCCAGGGCCGTCCTTAGGCATACGCAGCATACATGGCTGCGTAGGGCACCAGAAAAGTTGGGGGACCCCTGGGTCTTAGTGTCCACCCAAGGGTGACCAGATGTCCCGATTTTATAGGGACTGTCCTGATATTTGGGTTTTTTCTTATATAGGCTCCTATTACCCCCCACCCCATCCCGATTTTTCACACTTACTGTCTGGTCACCCTAGTCCACCCTTCCCTTTCTTCCTATCCCTGTTCTGACTCTTCCTGCAGACTCCCACGCCTGGCTGCTGCAGCCTGGTGAGTCTTCCTCCAGAGGGAATCTATAACTTACAAGTGAAAAAGCCTCTAGCCTGCCAGACCTATTAGCACAACATTGAAACTGTTAAAGAGCTATTCAAGGGGTAATGATGCCATTTAACAGGCATTTGCCAACCCCCAAGTATATACTATCAGTTTCTGAATTTACTGACAAAAACAGTGGTGCATGACTGTAATATATACTCAGAACATGTTAGTCTACAGGACCTTAGTTTAAAATTTGCTTTAAAAATATTTCATTAGTGTGTTGGTGAAGACTATAAAATCACATCTCTAAAAAATCCTTGCATAGATTTTTAGATGCACAATCTGAGTATTCATCTTTAGCCTTAAATGCTTCGATCTTCAGACATATAGTTTTTTAAATAAATCCTTCAAAAGACCATCCTTATCTAAGATACACATTTTAATTTTAATTACCATAGTACAGAAAATTTGCTTCCAAAGTCTTCCTGTCCATCTCTTTCTCCCTTCACCCCCCTGTTGAAGAGAGCCCTTAAAGGGACAAATCCCCTTTCCTTCCAGATAGCTGGACAAATTAGTTTCCCTTTCTTTACTTCTGACTATTTGATTAACTAGTTTTAAGAAAACCCTTCAGCAAAATCAGTATTTTAGTAAGATATAAAATCCTTTGTTATGCCTAAAATCTTTGGAAACATTTTTTTAAGTTGGTGAATGTCTATTGTTATGGAGATCACACACAGTAAATTAGTGTTCCCTTTTTCTAAAAGCAATGAACATTGTTATGAATACACTAAACCTCGGTGACTGATTAATTTAAAATAATGTCTTTGTTTCTGTGAGTTAAATATGTAGTGATCTGGAATTATTACTTTATGATGGCTTAAGAATACATTTAAAATATAAGATCAGCTTAGAAATACTGATTAAGAAAAAATAAACCAGAGAAGAGCTGCATCATGTATTCCATAATATTTAACGTTGTATTCAGCAGGACAGCTGACTTGCCTTTACTACAAAGTTTTGCAGATAAATCTCTGACAAACTTCAGGGTATATCAAAAAACCCGTGACTGAGGGCTGGTCCACACTAACCCCCCAGTTCGAACTAAGATACGCAACTTCAGCTACGTGAATAACGTAGCTGAAGTCGAAGTACCTTAGTTCGAACTATAAAGTACTTACCGCGGGTCCACACGCGGCAGGCAGGCTCCCCCGTCGACTCCGCGTATTCCTCTCGCAGAGCAGGAGTACCGGCGTCGACGGCGAGCACTTCCGGGATCGATTTATCGCATCTAGACAAGACGCGATAAATCGATCCCAGAAGATCGATTGCTTACCGCCGAACCCGGAGGTAAGTATAGACGTACCCTGACATTTTTTATTCCCACGTTTAGTGCTTTTAATTAGGTACCTTCTGCATGTCCAGTATTCACCATCTGGCATGCAGTGGAAAACATGCTCCATTTTCTTTAGAAAAAAATTACAGAAGAGTGGATTTTTCAAATGTCATTGGCTTCATTTGGGTTCAGGGATTTGGCTGGAAGGGTTGAGCAGGGAGGGGGAGGGAAGAGAGGATGGAGACAGTGGGGAGAGGGCGTGGCCTGGGTGGAGTGGGGGCAGGGCCTCAGGCGGCGTATGGGTGGGGCCACAGGCAGAAGAGGTGGACCGGGGAGCTAGCCTCCCCAAGCGGCAGCTTCACCCACTGCCCATGACAGCAGGTGGCTCCCGCACACCCAGCGTACACTGCAGTCTCCTTAGGCAGGGGTCGTATTCACAGAGCCGAATGCGCCGGTGCCGCGCATTCTGCGTGAGGGAGAGGGTACCAGGATCTCTGCGGGGAACTGTGACTCTCCGCCTCCATGAGGCAGCCCGAGCGGCTCGGTACCCTTTGCAGCCTCATCCCTCCCCCTGCAGGCTGCAAGCCCGTGCTGCCGTCAGGCACAGGGGCACCAGTTTAACAATACTATGTAGAGCCCCATAAATCCTAAGGACGGCCCTGAATCTGGCCGTGAGCAAATTCAGGCTGGAAATTAGATGCAAGTTTCTAACTGTCAGAGGAGTGTGGTTCTGGAACAGCCTCCCAATAGGAGGGGTGTGTGGGGGGGGGACAGCTTAGTTAGTTTTAAGAGAGAGAAGGACACATGTATAAGTGGGATTCAATGATCGGGTTGCTTGTGATGGTGGGGTTAGGGTGTGGGAGCCCTAGGGGTCCCTTCTGGTTCAGGTCTGATGGTCCCTAAATCTCATGCTTCAGGTCTTCAGCCAGTCACCTGCAGGAGTCAGGAAGGGATTGTTTTCTCCCAGTGTATTTGGATTTGGGTTTTTTTTTTTTTTGTCTCCTTCCTCTGAAGCATCAGAGGTGGCTGCAGCTAGAAATGAGACACTGGATGGAGTGGGCTGGTGCATTCTTTCTTTCAGGTGTATGCCTGGCTGGTTTTTACTTACATGCTCAGGGTCTAACTGGTTGCCATACGTGGGGTCAGGAATGCATTTTCCCTTAGGTCAGATTGGCAGTGACCTTGGGAGTTTTTCACCTTTCTGTGCAGCATGTGGGTGCAGGTCGTTTGCCAGGATCATCTGGGTGTCTTACTTAATCAGTTCCCTGCCACTGGGGGGTCTTGGGCACTGGTGCATGTGGGTTTTGGTTTTGGTCCTGATGTACTTATTTTAAGCTCATTACGGATAACGAGCAAGATAAATCGGAATGATCTATGTTAATTTTTGAATATAGTATGTTAGCTATGCGACTTTTGGAATGTGTACTGTGGCTAGGTGGTTATAGTTAATAGCAGGCTGCTGAGAAACTAGCAGGAAGGTAAGAACAATGGATCCAGATAAGATGTGGTAATTAGGTCAGGAGGTGATGGAACGAGACCTGAGTTGTTAGTTGTGAAGTTGGTACAGTGCAGGCCTCAGCTAAAGTTACTCAGCTGTTTTGTCAAACTGGGATCAAGCAGATAAGGTCATGCAGGATGGGTCTAAAGCAGTGAGGCCTTCCTAAGCTGTCAGGGAAATGGTGCGGCCTTGTCTACTATAACTCTGTATGTTCTCATTATCTAAAATGATCATCGTGATAGTGTCCAAGTCTTTTTGAATCCTACTAAGTTCTTGGCCTCAATAATATCTTGTGGCAATGAGTTCTACGGGTTAATTGTGTGCTGTGTTAAAAATTTCCTTGTACTCAGGTAGGACAGACAGGTGTATAGGCCTTTTATTGCTTTAAAATTCTTTTCTTTGTGCATACTGCCTTCCCACTATAAAGATTAACAAATTAGTACAGATCAGCGCCACATCTTTATAGGGAGTCTTTCCATAGATTTCAGTGGGCTTTGGATCAGTCCCTATGCTCAGCCTTGTGAGAAACTAAAATTTCTATGTGGCACTGCAGTGGCTTTCCAGAATCGAAATCATTTGGGTTTTGGCTCAGTACAAAAATGTTTTTAGAAAGTTCAGATTTTCTACAAAAATTGGAAATTTTCCACAAAACGGAGATGTTTTTCACAAAAACTTGCATTTAGTCAAAACCCCAATTTTTCATTGAAATACAGTTCAGGCAGAACTTTTTTGTGCATCCCTACCCTTAAAGTGTGAATTATTCTTAGTACTGCTACCAGTCTTACAACCAGACCTCAAAACACAGTGGATAGGCACCTGTGGGACAAAAGGGGCAGCCAAGCAGACATCTTTCATATGTCAAACTGCACAACAATAAGAGGGGAAATTTTGGCCATGGACAGTGGGGCAAAATCCATCTGTCAGCAAAAGAGCCATGGGATGTATAACATCCACCCTAAGCTGCCAGGACCTCCTTTGAGTAGGTCTCTTGTCATTCAACCATGTCTCACAGCTGTACATGTTATAGAATTGTAGTTGTGCTGAGTTTTACTCTGCTGTCTCCCTATTCTTTAAATAACCCTCCTCTCCCTTGCTTCTTTAGGGTGACGTGGGTCCTGCTGGTCCCCCCGGTTTACCCGGAACAGTAAGTAATGCTGCATCCCGTGTGCTAACACGGAGTTGATGTACAGAGGAATAGGTGGCAGTTTCATCTTTCACACAGACCTCCCAAGCTCAGGGCCTCGCAAGTTACCCATTTCTTTGCAGAAACACCAGGAACTATTTATTTAGCCCTGGTATAACTCCATTAGCTTCAGTGGCGCTATCTCGTGGATGCAATTGGTCCAATAGTTCTTAAGAAATTGGTATGTGTGTATCCTGTCATTGCCTCTCTCTGCATGCATACTCCCTCATACAGTAGCATCAGTTTGACAGGGTTTCTGCATCTCTTCCTTTCAGTGGTATGTATAGTAGGTGTAGGGGCTGGGGCAAGTGTGTGTGTTTGTGCCCACACAAGGGTGGAGAAAGGGAGTAAATGTGTTTACATGCTACAAGTTTATTGCATGGATCCTAAAGGATCCTTTTAGACCCAGCAAGATGTTCCAGTCCAGGATTTCCTGGTGACTTCCCAAAGAAACCAGTTTATTTTCAGAATGGATCCTGTGGGAAACTGAGCAGATCTTGCAGGGAGCATTCCACCTGAGTCTCATTAGCCAACACGCGTGCCCATGGAAATAGCAGGGGGAATCCTAGACTGGATTACGCTGCCTCACCAGCATGGATTTAGGGCAGTGCTTCTGGCTCGGGGAGAATTCAAATCCAGGGCCCTTCCAACCCTCCAGGACCTTTGGGAGAGAGGCTCCAGCAGATACGGCACCATCTTGTGTGGCTGGCCCAGGAGACTCGCATACACTAGGAGCCCATCGTGGAACAATGGAATTAGTTTGGGTTCAAATTTGGGTCCAACGAACCACCAAATTAGACCATGTCCACCTCACAGACCCTGCGTGGCAATAGGAAAGCACCAAGGAACCTCCATTTACCTCTTTTAAAATGTGGGAACATGAGTATACTCTGAAATACAAGTTAACTAAAGGCCATGAACCCAAAGTCCATGGAATATAACTATAACCCTCATCACCCGCTCCAGCAAAACCTGACCAATCATCCTGCCCTGAGTGTTAACAATGCACCTGCCCCAACAATGGTAGAGGTAGTACCAGAGTTACAGGCCCTCCAGGGAAAATGTCTGAGATTCGCATCTAGTGGCTGTTAGCAAGAGCTGATTGCAGCTGCCCTGCTGGCGTAGGGACAGACAGACCTCTCGGATAGCTAAGACCCAAGCCATGTAGACCTTCATAGGTCTGTAACAAAACCTTGAACAGGAAGGCGGTGCAGGCTGCAGAACCCTGCTGTGATGCACTCCCAATGGTGAAACCTTCCAAGCAGGCTTCCTCGTTCTGTATCAATGGCAGCTTCCACGTGACCGTCGGGGTAGCCCATGTACATCGCAGGGCGATAATCCAGTCACAAAGACCTGGGCCTGGTCGACAGCTGAGGGAAATGGTCCCAAATGCAGCACCACGTGCATAGGAATGAAGAAGGCTCTTCTGAACGCTGACATCTCTTGGGGAATCTGTAAGGAGGAGAAGTGTAGCCATCCTTAGTGATCCCAGGGTGGAAGACAATAGACCACGCTCAACCATGGCGTGAGCAAAGCACAGCTCCTATCGGTTTCAATGGAAGTTGCCCTTGCTTATACTAGCCCCAGATTTGGTCCAAAGGGGAAAGTTTAATGAGACAAGCGATGGGATCAAGTGTAAAATGCAGATCCAGATTTCAAAGCTGTTTGAAGCTGGGATTTTGGTTGAGCTCATTATTGCTATAGAGCTCCTGTGAAAAGTTGGGATTCATATTTCAAATACCCCAACAAAGTTCTGGCATATTTTGGATCTTTTCTTTCTGAAGAACACTGTATTAGATGAAAGGACCTGCCAACTGAGAGGGAGGGAATCTGTACTGACAGAGAGAATGAAGTCCACAAGTGATTAACCTTCTAGGAAAATCACTTTGAAGGGCCTCTTTTGTGAATGTGTTTCTACTAACTTTTTCATTTTTTTGGGTTTTCTTTCCAGACAGCCCTGTTTACCCCACATCCTCAGATTCCTGTAAGTAATGTATCTAATAAAGATGGTCTCTAATTTATCACCATTTAACTTTGATAGATAAAAATCACCTTGGAATTTGACATGTAATTTAAATACTTTGTTCAAAAGAGCTCAGCTTGAGTCTGGCTACAGGCAACGTCAGCATTGTGCCCAGTCACCATAAAAATGCAGCCGTTGTCCTAGCAACAGCAACATCCAGACTAACTTTGGTCGGGATGCAGCTGCATTCTGTCCCATCCCTGCAAGATGGTGAGTGCTCCCAGATTACATGAGGTCTTAGTGTTCTGCTCTGGTCCTGTGTCACCCTTACTTTGCACAGATGTAGATAACGGCATAAGTTGCAATGCAGCAGAGAATTAAGTGCGTAGAGTTTAAGTGACTGTGTTGGCACAGGGGTGTAACCCAGTGGTGAGTTGGTGCTACACAACCTCCTTTGTGGATTGGCATGTGAGTTGTTACAGCCCTTACCTACAGAACGTTAGCTTAAGCTCAGGCGTTTAGCTCTGTAGGTCCCTGGTTCAAACCCTGGTGCGTTGGCCAAGAGGACGGCCATCACTGGGGCACTGTGTGTGCTCTAAAGGCATAAGTTTCAGGAGGAAGTTAGAAGTTGCCAGGCATCCCGCAGGATACTTCCTGCTGCCTCTCTCACAGTGATGGGGAACCAGTTACAGAGAATACTAGATCTTAGCAGCAGCAGTTCTCTGTTTACTTATACGTTGTTCCCTGTTAGTTGTTAGTTAAATACGTTTACCTAAAAGCTGCTCAGTTATCACTGAAATACCGTGACAAGTTCAAGTGGGTTTGGGTCTGTAGCTAACCATAATGGGCTGAGTTATGCCTTCAGGGCCCAGCCCTCTGTCCGGGAGCTGTGCAGAACTACATTTATGGAAGAGCAGCTCTGAAGGGAATTCCCTACAGAAGGTGCAGTGTGCACCCACTCAATGCCCCGTCTTCTCTTCCTCTCTTTGAGAAGTCTTGCATTCTGGGGGCGCTGGAGTTGTGACTCTGGTCATGTCTTGCATAAACCAGGAGGGTAGTAGGCCTCCCTGAAGTCTGTCCCACCCTCTTGCACAATCACAGAGTCGTGGGGCGCAAGCAGGCCCACTCTGTGTCTTGCCCCCTTTTTTTCAGTGGGGCGGAAGTTAAAAAAAAAAGGAAAAGAAAACAGCGAGAGGCAGTCGCTCAGGGGGCTGGCAATGGGGGCTGCTAGTTCCAATCCAGCCGCTTGTTATAATCCAATCCAGCTGTGAATCATAACCGCCTCATTTCTGTACATTGAGCTGTGTGAAATGAGAGGGCGGATTAAGATCAGTTGCCATGGACAGGGGTCCATATAGCATGTAGCACTATCTGGCAGCACTTACAGTCTCCCCAGATTGGCCATGTGTTCAGCTAATTTGGAGGGACCCTTTAGGCGGTCCCACCAGATCAGGATTGAGGCAAGGTAATTTGCGCTGCTTGTATTCTACTTGTTTTTTGGCTATTGAATGATTTTAGGGACAGATTTTTTTAAGATGCCTAACTCCAAATACCTTTAAAAATCTGTCCACAAGCCTGGAGGCTGATCAGTATGGCACTAACGTTCAACTGAAATGTAAACACGGAAACAAAAAGGAGGAAAAAAGACTATTAAATGAGCTGCCTCCTTAGACGATTGAGTGATTACTTCTTCTTGCAGCCTTGGTTTCCATGGGAATATCTGTTTATATTTACAGTTATTAAGAGCATCCATCTCTTTGACCTTGTTAAAGTGTGTCTACACTTTGGGTATTTTCATCACTCAGAAGGATTTCAAAAAGTGTACTAGTTTGAATTGCAATTATACCAGTACACCCCAAGTGCAACTGCAATATTTGGTTGACGTACATTTATTAAACCAGTTTGCGCTGCGTTGTCATTTTTCTGTAGGCCATTAGATGGCATCAGAGACTGTTTGAATAGGATCTGTGTTAACTTGAGTTAAATTATTTATTGCAAATAATAATTATTGCAAGTTCAGACTTTTTTTGGTTGGAAAATCCTTTGCAAACAGACTTGGAATTTCACAAATCTGTTGCTAACGGAAATGATTTGGAAAACAGATGTTGTGAACCATGAAGAACTATATGAACTATTTGTTTTGAGTAGTCCTGGTGTCTGATGGGAAGCCTAAGTCACATGCTTCTGCCCCTTGACTGGATAACTGAAACATTTTATACAATGATGTAACCACAAAAAAAGTTTGAATGCTCTTGCCTGAATACATATGTTCACATACAAATTTGGAATTTCATATGTGGCCTGGTCTTGCACCATTAGAATCGTCAGTGGGAGCAAGATCACACCCATAGAGATAACTAAGGGGAGATATGATTGAGGTCTATACAATCATGACTGGTGTAGGAAGGGTAGATAAGGAAGTGTTGTTTACTACTTCTCATAACACCAGAATTAGGAGTCACCAAATGAAATTAATAGGCAGCAGGTTTAAAACAAATAAAAGGAAGTATTTCTTCACACAATGCACAGTCAACCTGTGGAACTCCTTGCCAGAGGATGTTGTGAAGGCCAAGACCATAACAGGGTTCAAAAAAGAACTAGATAAATTCATGGAGGATAGGACCATCAATGGGTATTAGCCAGGATGGGCAGGAATGGTGTCCCTAGCCTCTGTTTGCCAGAAGCTGTGAATGAGCGACAGAGAATGGATCACTTGATGATTAAATGTTCTGTTCATTCCCTCTGTCGCACTTGGCACTGGCCACTGTCGGAAGACAGGATACTCGGCTGGATGGACCCTTGGTCTGACCTAATAGGGCCGTTCTTATGTTCTTACAGAGGACAGCCATTTCTCCAGTAACTCTATGCCATTCACTTAAATGCATCCAAATACCATGAATGCATCCATACTGATTGGCTTTTCAGAATTCAAAGTGAAGGTGAATTCCTGCTGCGTGGTATTCCACCAGCATGAACATATGGGGGTGTTATAAAGAGGAAGGACGGCAGTAAATTAATCCCAGTGGTCAGTAACAATAGCGTACAAAATAATGTGCTGATGTTGCAGCAGGGAGGAGAAACTCTATGAACACAAGAAGTTAATGGGACACCTGGCCAAGAGCAGCTATAGAATCCACATCACCGGTGATACCCAAGTCTAGCCCATGTTCACCCATCTTTTACAGACAGGATAGGAGTAATGACATTAGTCCAATAATCCTCCAGGCAGATGGAATAGATCATTGATCAACAGTTATCGCTGATGTCTCATTTCAGACTATCTGGACAATAAATGTACACCAGAGAGAATATTCTTTCCCCCGAATTTACCAAGTTGTAACATTATTTTATGATGGCAGATTATATGTAAACATTATCTACGAGGGAGAGTAACCATCTTTTTACTTGAAAATATATTTGGGATCGGCTTAGCAAGACAAGCGCTTTTTCACAGGGAATATGCTGAGCCATAGCCACTAACAACTCCCCCCACCCCGCAAAAATATCTCTCTTCTGGGACAGAAGGAAGGTGATTGTTCATATTTTCAACGTGAGTCCTCTAGATCTAGGTACCAAGCAGAAGTGGCAATGGTAGCAGTTTAGCTGAAGAAGATTCTTTCTCTCATTCATTTGGCCTTGTTCCAAAGCGTATTTCATTCGTTGGAGGGTCTTAACCTCGGTGGCCACTGAATCAGGCGCTTTATAAAAATGGAGTCCGTGGCCATATTCTGATAACCCTAATGGGATTAGGGTTATCTGCTTTCAGGTAAAGAGGTGGGTTCAAAGTTCAATTCAGCTCATAGTCACTTCAGATGAAAAATCCATTCAGTATTCAATGTGGAATAAGAGATCCTTAACATCAGCCCTCTATATGGAATGTGGTCAAAAGCCTCTGTCAAAGAACAAAACTGTCTGACTTTTATCAGCCTCGCCGACGAGATAACATGAATTTATTTTTCACTCTTTATCCTCGTATTGCTTTGCGACAGGGAGAAACTGGGCCAAAGGGAGAGAAAGGAGATCGAGGAAACAGCGGGGAACCCGTAAGTGCAAGACAGTATTCCTTCAGAAATGACTGTGAGCCTCTCCCTGCCCCCTAGCTAACAGAACATGGGTGGGTGTCATATTCCCTTTGGCAGGGGCCCTGACCCTCTGCTACAGGAGTAGTGACCTGGTGATAAGCAGAGGGCTGGTGGGAAGTTCTAGGTAGGGTTTTGCTGATGTTTTTATATATATATATATAGATAGATAGATAGATAGATATAGATATATAGATATATATCTGTATAGCTCATTTTAATAAAGTTCTTTCAGATGATTTTGCCCTACAAAATTACACAGAGGGTTAGTCTATGGAACTGCAAGTTTTTGTTATTGTGACCCATTGTTCTTCTGCAGCAGTGGTTGGGTATGCTCAAGAGGAATGGGCATCGTCTCCATCATGTCGGAAATGAACCCAAACTGTTGCTAGCCCTGGACATATAAAATCCTTCCCTTCCCCAGAGTGGGGAAAAATGAGCCAAACCAACATGTGCCAAGGAGAATAAATGAGTTGTTTCCCACCTCCCCTTCCTTTGCAGGGACTGCCTGGTGTCCCAGGTGAAATGGGGCTCCCAGGACCTCCAGGACCACAGGTAAGCAACATTGACTCCCCTCCCTGGAATGACCAGATAGGTAAGGGGTGCTGACTGGGTGTAGATCACTCCACACAGTCCCTCCCCCTGGATGCTGAAGGTCTGATTCCCCTGTCACACTGCTGTAACTCCATTGACCTCTGTGGCATTAGGTATCCCTCATTAACCCCAGTGCAAAGGAGAAGAGAGTCGAGCCCTAAGTGTGACATGCTATCTCTACACTGCTCTGCAAGCAGGACCTCTGAGACAGCTCTCCCTAGGCATGTCTGCCAAGAGCTGAGCGTACTGCCTTTCTGCTGCCCCACGGGGCTAACGAATGAGTGATTGTGATTACAGCGCATGAGCAAGGAATTCCAGGGCAGTGTTCGGATTCAAGACACTTTCTGAATGCTCCTTGGGTTATGTGAAATGGGTACATAGTTTTAGTCCAATTGCCACTGAAAAAATTGTCTGGATGGCAAAAAACACCATTGCAAGTGAGCTCTGATCATCGCTCCTGTTGACTGTCTCATCAGAAAGGGCAAAGAGTGAATGGGCACCGAGGTACCACTCTCTCCCCTAGACGGGTCCCTCCAGCAAGGGCTGAAGTATGTTTGTAGGGCAGCATGGGAGAAGGCCGCAGTGCTTGTGCTGTGCCTATCCTGCACATAGAAATTGGCTGTCGCTCGGACTGCCAGTCTTGGGCTGTCTTAAACAAACACGACCATGAACTTAACAAAAAAAGGAAGAAGAAAAAGGATTTGAGAGCAGTGGCAGGCTCAGCAATGGCAAGGAAACAGGAGCTACAATGCCACTGAATTCTCTGCTCATGAAAGTCCACCATGGGACAAAGCAAGTCCCATGTAAACCATCAACGTAGACTTTCATGGCTCATGGGGCCAATGAAGGCCCTTTGCACAGGAATTCGTCCTTAGTGCGCTATTATTGTTCATATAGTTACACCCGGCAAGTCAGGGGTGAAATTCCCCCTGTGGAGAGAGACCATTACAGCTTAGTTAGGATTATAGGTGATGCATAGGGCGGGGATGGCCCTATATGTGGGCATGAATTTCACCCTCTCTGTGAATATCCACAAGTCCCAGCATCCAGTGCTGAATAGCAGCCTCCATTTAAGTCCCTTTTCTTTCTGTCCAGGGTGCGAAGGGACAGGAAGGAGCCGGAGGCGAGCCAGGAGTCCGTGGAGAGACTGTGAGTCATTGCTTCGCTTAGGGCACATCTTGCAATGGGAACACACCTGAAGGGCTTCAGAAGTAGCTGCTTTCCAGACTAATAATCTCAGGCAGATCCTGTGCAGGGTACGCTCTGATCTGCAGCTAGGACAAGAGCTGCTGCTCCGGGCAAACAGAAATTCAAACCACTCAGCTGCACCCAATAGATTGCTGCTCCAATCGATTCAATGGATGCGGTTCCAGATTGCCTATTTTTTGTTTGAGAAGTCTGATTCTCAGATGAAACCCCTTCCTTTCCAGGCAAGGCGCTGGTCGTGCTCATTAATCCACTGGGATGGCATTCAGGCACAGGCTACCGTCTGGTGCTGAGAGCTCGTAACTCATCGAGAGCCACCACTGGTTTTTGATCTTGGTTAGCTTTACGCTTCTCCTCCTGCCTGATCAATTCAGCATTTTTTTTTTATAAAGGAGACTCATTACCATAAACCCACCACACATACTTGTGTGGGCGGGGGGAGGGGGGGCATGTTCTCTGAGGCTGATCTGATCTGGCTTCTGCATACTAGAGAGCAGTAATGACTCCGATCCCAGTTTACCCCCGAATGAGCAATTTCTTACTCCTTTCTCAAGAAAAAGTCAGTAGAAGAGGAAGTGCTGAACAGAGGACAAGGAATTAGAGGAATGGTTTTGGGGAGCCTTAGATCTGGAGAAGGCCAGATATCAGAAAATGGCTTTGCATTCATAATCACTGTCCTGCCAACCCAGTTATGGCATGGTTGCTTCCATGATTACTCTTCCATTGAAGTCCATCAGGCTACTTGTAGGCCTTCTACGCTGATGGTAGTGTATAGAGTAGATGTAGCTAGATGCCGCAGTGAAAAGCAGGCCGTGTCCACGCGACGGTCTGTAGCTACTCACAGCGGTGAAAGGCTCTGGCAGTGGGGAGGCAGTGGAGAGGTGCTGGAGCCTTTCCCCATTGCTTCCCTGTGCCAGAGCCTTTCCCCACAGCTGGAGACTTTCCCTGCAGTGGGGAAAAGCTCGAGCAGTGAGGAACTGCCTGAGTCTTTCCCCACTGCCTCCCCCTGCTAGAGCCTTTCCCTGCGGCGGGAAAAGGCTCTAGCAGTGAGACAGCACATTGCCAAAAACAGAAGAGTAGATGGGGAATGCACTGCATGGGTGTGTAGGGAGCTGTGTAGGGTACATGCCGATAGGGTCCGGTGTGTCTTTACTTTACTAACTAATACCTGATCTACACTGCTGTTTGTACCCACGCTAAGGGGGCATGCGGTGTGTGTACTCTACATCGCTGTAAGCATAGACATAGCCTCAGTAATGGTAATAATGTTGTATAATACCTAGCCCTTTTACGGCATTTTTCATCCATAGATCTCACAGTGCTTTTTACAAAGGAGGGCGTATCATTATGGGCCTGATCCAAAGCCCATTGAAAGCAATGTGAGTCTTCCCATTGACTTCATTAGCCTGTGGGTCAGGCCCTGTAACTGGTTGCAGGATTGGGTCATTAATTGACAAATGAATGTAAGAAAGTTAGAAGTGCATCTGACTGTTCCTTGTGGATAGAAGCCTTTGGTGTTCTTGTGCGACCAGTTCAGGATACTCACCAGCTGAACTATTGACCTCACTAAATACACAAAAAAGCAGGGAAAGGGTAGACTTGTCTGAGGAGACTATTTTGTTGCCCTGGATACTATATGTTTGTCATAAATCAACATCATTTCATCTGATCTGATAATATATATTTTATTCTCAGTGCTATATTTCTTTTCCAAGCTGATGGAGTAGCTGATCTGGATTTAGGATGGATCATGACGATAGACTATTTTGAAATTCCCAAGGGATGTCTTAATCTGTTTTGTACCGTTGCATCCTTATTCAGGTTGTAAGATCTTTGAGGCAAGAGTTCTCTTTTACTATATGCTTGTACAGCGCCTAGCAGAATGTGGACTCCAATCCCATTTAAAACTTCTAGCTCCTACGAAATACAATAAGAAACAATATTTTTTTTAAATTTTGTTTTCTTACAACAGGGTGCTCCTGGACCTGTTGGGCCCCCAGGTCCACAAGGCTTGCCAGGAAATGTGGTATGTATTCATCCATGGATTTGTTCCCCATCTGTGCCCTGCCACATTTCTCTTACTCAGTTTCTTTGGTTTCCATTGTTACCCGGGGTTTCAGGCACTTTACTGGTTTGCCAAAATCTCCCCCTACATGATTTCCCAGGGTCTACAGCTGTTGTTTGTTTCAGGTGGTTTCATTACAGGCAGCTACTCTCTTTGAGAGACTCAGTAGACATGGACATCTTGGGAGTGATATAGTCAACAGGACAATGTCACTGTCAGGCGCTGCCTCCCAGTCAGGCCTAGTGGTTGGAGCAGAGGTCGAAGCTGGATGTCAGGTTGGGACTGAGCCAAGGGTGGAGCTGGAATTGAACCAGGGACAGGACAGGGTCAGAACTGAGATCAGAGTCCGCAGTCAAGCCAGAATCAGAACCGTAGCCACAGTCCAGGTGCAAGCCAGGGGTTGAAGCTGGGTTGACAGAGTCCAGGGACAAGCAAAGTCGGTACCGTAGCCAAGTCCAGATACAGGCCAAAGGTCGAAGCCGGATAGTCAGAGTCTGAGGGTTCAGGGATGGTCAGGAAGCGGAGGCAAGGCTGGAGCAGGGCAAGGACAAGACTGGAACAGGGCTCGGGCAAGGCTAGGGCAGGAACAGGGTCAAAACAAGAGCAGGCTGGGAGTCTCAAGAGTCTGATACACTGTGCGGCAGCAGGAGGGTTCCTGGCCAGGTAGTGTGTTGCACAGACTGATCTGCAGCTCTGGTGGGGTTGGGTAAAAACCTGAGCTTGGGGGTCACCTGACGCAGGCTCTGCTCAGGAAGAGGCTGCTGCCGCCGCATGCCTGGCAGCTTAGTCAGTGCCGGCTCTGTGGGAAGGGCAAGTCAGTGCAGCCAAACTATGGCCACATGCCTGAGTGATAACTGTGTTGGAAGGGCACTGTTGAGACTCTGAGGATGGGTAGTGGAAACCTACCCACATCTAAAGCTCCCCCCCCCGCCTAAGGGGAAGAGCCCCTGGACCCAGGCACCAATAAGATTTCAGGGGACAACAAATGTAAAAACAGGGATGGGAGTGGGGGTCACTGGTTGAAAAGGGATCCAGAGGGGGACACCGAGCAAAGAACCCTGGACAGTGCCCACTGCTCCTAGAAGGCATCCAGGGAGCCAGTGGACATGGTCCAGAGGAACTCTGCCCGGAGTTGTGACTTAAGGGAGGATCAGAAGTAGGCCCCCCCGTCGCAGAGCACCTCCCCATCCAGCTTCCCCCTCCTGGTATGGAGGACGGCCACTTTGGCCAGTGCCAGGAGGCGGTTGACAAGGAGATCTTGTGACTTCACGGGGCACAGATGGGGTGTGCATAGATCAGGAGGTGTGGGGAAAAGTGCAGCCAGAACTTAGGGAGAAGGTTTTTGAGGAGCCGGAAGAGGGGCTGCAACCTGGTGCATTCAATGTAGATGTGCGCCAGGGTCTCCCTCTCGTTGCAGAAGAGGCATGTGTCGGGGAGGTGGTGAACCGCGCCAAGTACATGCCCATGATCACGGCTCTGTGAAGGAGCCACCAATTAATATCCCAGGCAAGCCGTGAAACCAGGGTGGAATATGGACTGGCCCACTGGGGTTCCTCGCCCACCACAGGCGGTAGGAGGTCCCACCACTTGGTGTCAGAGCAGGACACAAGCGTGAGGAAGTGAAGGGTGTGGAGCATGAGCGCATAGAGCTGTTTCCTAGGCACAGTTCAGAGGCGGTCCAGCTTCATGTCGTGCAGCCGGTTCAGGTAGTGCCTAGGGGGTGGCTGAGGAGGCTCACCAGGCAGGGGCCCAATGGCTAAGTCCAGAGGGCCAGGGGTGGGTGGGTAACAGCCTCCCAAAGGACCTGCTCAAAGAAAGTGAGAGAGGCAGGTGCTAAAGCCGCCCTCACCTTCTGGAGTATACGCCAGGGGATGAGAGGTGTGGAGAGCCCCAAGCGCCAGCCTAGCACCAGGGGATCCACCCAGTCCCTCTATTCATGGTCCAGGAGGTCTCTGATCCTGGTGGTACCAGCCAGGACCAACCTCTGCTACACTGAGGGAGACTCCACCACCTGCACACCAAGATGGAGGTTGTATAGCAGAGGCACCACGAGGAGGTCCCCCGCCTCAGCAGCTGCCGCAGACCTGGTCACCGAGACTAGCTTCCAGGCCCTGGTAAAAAACCAGCAGCTCAGAATGGTCTCACAGGAGACTCCTCAGATGGAGGTAGAAGAGTTGCCAATCGTATCGGAGCCCTTGGAGGTAGCAGAAGAAGGCGTGCACCAGCGCACTCCATGCCAGACTGCCAGCACCATAGAGGAGTCTCTGCGGGACCTGGAGGCGGAAGTCATGGACCTGACTGCGGCGACAGAGCAGGCCCTGCCCAGCCTCCTCCTGGGGGAGGTTCGGGACTCCCGCAGAGACCCAGTGCAGCCCTGGCCAGAGGAACCAGGGCCGCCCGGGGGGGGGCAAGTGGGGCAATTTGCCCCAGGCCCCGCAGAGGCCCCCATGAGAGTTTTTCGGGGCCCCTGGAGCAGGGTCCTTCACCCGCTCTGGGGGCCCCGGAAAACTCTCGCGGGGCCCGGGCCCCCAGAGCTTCTTCCGCTCCGGGTCTTCGGCGGCAGTTCGGCAGCGGGGGCCCCCCGCCGCCCAAGACCCCAGGCCCCTGAATCCTCTGGGCAGCCCTGAGAGGAACTCCAAGATTTTCTTCTGGAGGCAGGCCAGGGTACGCGTGGGCAGGCTCAGGGTGTTGAGCCAGTGCCAGAGCATGGACAGGACCAGGGTTAAGCACCAGTAACCTTCCGCACAGGGAAAGACACTGGAGCAGTCCTGTCCACTCCTCAACCACTCAGCCATCCTGGTTTCCAGATCACGATAATTCTCCAGTGGGGAGGGATCAGTGGCAAAAAGTTAGACACCCAGATAGAGCAGCCAGTCCGTGCTCTCCCGGATGGGCTGGAGCACAGGAGGAAGGGAGTTCTCCTGCCACCAGGCCCTGACCACCAGGCCAGAGCTCTTGACTCAGTTGACCCAGGTGGAGGAGACCGCTGAATAAATGGCTTGGCAGGCCTCCACCTGCACCAGGTCACCCAGGTCCTGGACCACGAGGAGCATGTCATCGGCGTATGCCAACAGGACCAGCCACTGTTGGAAGGGAGCAGAGCGAGCAGCCCTAGTTTGGCGGCAGGTTTGCCTCACGCTCACCAGCATTGTACCAACAAGGATGCACTGAACTCTGATTTGTGTCCTCACCGAACTGACCAATGCTTGGTTTGCCACCAGCTGTCCCAAGAGAAAAATTTCTTCCTTTCTTTCTTTCTTGTTGAAACTAGAATCAGTTCAAAGATTTAAGGATTGATACACTCAGATCCCATTTTCACTAGAATACGATGTAAACACTTCAGGTCCAATTGTGCAACCTTTACTCCAACGAGTAGGGCCATTGAAATTAGGTTTGCACGATTGAGTCTTTCATGTTTGCATATAAGTCTTTGGCTAGATTCTGCTCTCACTTCCACCAGTGTAAATCTGAAATAATTCCATTGGAGTATCTGGTATTACTCCAGTTCCACACCTTTGTGAGTGAATACAGGGTTTGAACTTTTAAGTGCAACATGCACGGGGCATTAGCTGTGCAAATGAGATCAACAGAAGAGCAGTGTGATGTGATAGGTGCTAATAGACAATCCAAGTAACTGTCTACTAGTTATCTCTGCCATTTCTAATTAAATTGGGCTCTATTAACATAATGAAGATAGTTTACATATTCATGAGCTTGGCTAAAGGAAGCTGAAGTGGGAAAATAATATTTGTGTTGATACTGTCTTCTAACTTGCAATCAGAACAACAGATACAAGCCAACAGAATGGGATATAGTACTAACTGAGGCTGGAATAACTCCAAATAATTGCACTGCTCAGTGACGAACTCAAACAGAGACCTCCCCTGGCCTTTCTGGTGGGGTTTAGTTCATTCCACAACCTCCTGAAAGCATCTGTCTTGAAAGACCCAACTCACAAGCCTTTGTCCTTGTCTCAGCTTGGGAGAAAGGGAAGGAGAAAGGAATGTTATGTTGTTCGGTTTGGAGGTAAATCACCTATGGGTCTAAACTATAAAGAATCAAAGAAGTTTGATATCATCCTATCTGCCTATAATTTAAAGGGAATGAAAACGGAAATGCAAGGGTAAAATGACCATTGAGTTAATCCCAGGAGTGTGTTGAATTTCACCATTATACTGACTATTGGGGGGCATCAGACAAAAATAAACCCGATGAGACTTTTGGTTGTAATGAGGCTTTCTAGTAGTATCTCTGCTCTCTACAGTTATGCTTTCTGAGTTCTTTTCAGCAAACCAGGAAGTGCCAGGAGGATTTTACAGAGGGGGGAAATGTATTTTGGTTGGGGGAGGAGTGGCGTACAAAACTGGGGCTAACTCAATTTTCACTTTAGCTTTGCAGTTCATTCTTACATTGAAAATAACCTTTTCAGGCAGCTGATTCACATCTCTTCTAGTTCATTGTTCTCAGGATTACAAGTTGTCTGTACTGGGAAGAGGGAGTGTCATAAACCAAGATGTATAAAATTGCCCCCAAATCCCCAAGATGTACAATACAGTACATCTGTCTATCTCATTTCCTTTAGAATCAAATACCACCTCAAATAACAGTTTTAAACAGGAGCGTTCTTTTTCTCCACAGGGTGTACCTGGAGACGCTGGCCAACCCGGAAAGGATGGACAAAAGGGTGAAAAGGTCCAGCAGTTCTTTCATGTCTGTCAGATAAATGTGTATCTGGACTTGCAGCCCTCTGAACGGTGACCAGGATTAATAGATTTTAAAGCCAGAAGGGATGATTAGCTCATCTAGTCTGGCATTTTCCAGAGAATTGCACTTGGTTCTCCCTGTATAAACTACCTAGCAGTACTAATAGGACAGGAGCTCTTGAAGTGAAAAAGCCACCTTAGCTTTTCTATTAGATACAGTGATGTCATTGGCTTGAAAACACATCTGCACGGTGGTGATTGTGCCAGGATTGTGGGGGATTCTATTCTGTTTGTTTCTCTCTTGATAATTATGTTTAAATCTGTAAATCCCCAGCTGTAAGCAAAACCTTCTCGCACCGGTTAGGCAAACTGGGACTTCTGCTTTCATACCAAGCTCTTTTAATTGCATAGTTCCCTATTTCTCCAAGCTCACCCTCACCTCCATTTGTCTGTCTCATCCGACTGTTATGTCCTGCCTGACACCTGGACTGTAAGCTCACTGGGGCAGGGACTGTCTCCTTTATTACTTGCCTGTACCAAGCCTAACATGATGGAGCCCTGGTCCTTGATTGAGGCTCCATGATAGAAATAATTAACAGTAACATCAACCTTAACTACACACAATAGAAGGATAACAATGCAAAATATAGACAAGTCCCACTATATCAACCCCTCCCACCAAATCACCATCCATCTTCCGAGTGCTCACCAGATCCCTCGACCTACTTGAAACCCAAATCTTCCCTGAATTAAATGCGCCTTCTAGTATGTTTCCAAAGTTAGCAGGGTGGAGTCACAATGGGAGAGCGAAGAAAGGGGTGTTCTAGAATTAAGAACTCCTCACTGATGGAAGAGGGAGGAAGGAGTGTTCTAGAATTGAAGCCCCCTCACAAGGAACACCCTGCCACTCTTCCTTTCTCCCCACCTGTTAAAGCAGAGGGCTAGTAACTCAAGCTCTTCTGCTGAGTGTAACTGCATCAATATTACACAGATTGGAGGAGTCTTTAACATAGCCACGCCCCAAACCATTTAGGGCTAAAGTTTTCATTTAAAGGGGGAAATACCAATACTCTTATGAGAGCATTTGATATAAAGGCCAAGATGCATCATCACATTCTTATAGTATAATAAAACAGGGCTTCCTATGACACTGAGGAATGTTCTGCCTGTAAAAGTTAAAGACAAAATCCCTGGACATTTTTATCCTCATGGGCTATCTGGTCCAGAAATGGACCTTAGCTCTCAATTCAGATGCATCATTGTAATGTCGTCTACAGGGTGACCCAGGACAGGAAGGAAAACCAGGACTACCTGGGCTCGCAGGTGAGCCTGGCCCTGCTGGAATACCTGGCTTACCAGGGAAGGGTAAAGATGGAGAACGGGTAAGTCCTCTTAGCACACTCTGCACCCAACTAGAATCAGTTCCTATAGGAGTTAAAATGGAACAGCCTCAGCAGAAGCAGTGTATAAAATATAACTGCGTAATATTGCAGTGCAGCATTATATTATTACCCACTGACAGCAGGCCACCCTTTGAGTGGATGCGGCTGCCAACTTCAGCACCTGCAGCAAGCTTGCTTGCCTCCAACACTGCACCATCGTGTGTTCTGTCCATATCTGCCCACTCTGCCCATGCTCCAACCTCACAGGTGGGCAGTCTCTCTTTCACTCTCTCTCTGGCCCAATTACTATTTCAGTTATCCACAATGGAACAGCTTCAACAGGAGAGATTGAGGGAGCCCCACAACTGAAGATCCCATAGCTCAGTGGTAAGAGCACTCTCCTGAGAGGTGAGAGACCCCCCCAGTTAAAGTCCTGTCTCCATCTCCAGCAGAAGAGGGTATTGAAGCTGGGTCTCCCATATCCCAGGTGAATGCTCTAACCAGGAGGCTAGAAGTTATAAGGTGGGCTCCTCCACCACCTGCCATTTTCAGTGGAGTGAGGCAGGCACCACACGCCTAGCTCAGTCCCACAAGATGCACCTTTGATGCCTAAGCTACCTGACTCCTGGTGGTGGGTTCCCATTTGTGGCTCACTAAGCAGAGATGGGCACAGCCCTGAAGCCTGGATGTAGGTACCTATCTCTGAGAGAGGGGCAGAGCTTAGGACACACCCCTCTTGTTGGACTCTCCCATTAGGCAGCTCCCCATCTAGTGTGCTGGCTTTTGTGGATCACATTCTTAGGTGTCTGTCTTTCCTCATTCATTGTATGGGTAGCCTAGCACCTAACTCAGGCTTTGTGGATCAGGCTTTGTTCCTGTGATTTTCTAGATGCCCAAAAGTTAGACGCTCAATATTGCAACCGCTAAGTTCCTTCATGGATCCCACCCACCGCCACTAGAAATACTAGTTTGATGTAAGAATCATTTTTGATTATTTTTCAAAGGCCAAGCTTCTGCTTCGCAAGTGTTGACTATTTTTCTGCTTTGGTTATGGCTCTTTAGGGTGAAAGAGGCCCCCCAGGCCTACCAGGACCCCTCGGACACAAGGTAAGCATTTACCACTGTCCCATTGAGGACTGCTTCTCAGAAATCAGGACAAGTTTGCACATTGTCACTGGAGCTGGTGGAAAAATTAATTGAAAATATGGTCCATTTTTCACTGGAAAATATTTTTGGTGAGACATTTACTAAAAATGTTTTCCTGATTTTCAGTGGGAAAAGGTTTGCAACAGAAACTTTCCAAACAACTCTATTTTCTGTGTAATGCCTCTCTGGTTGTCAAGTATCAGAGGGGTAGCCGTGTTAGTCTGAATCTGTAAAAAGCAACAGAGGGTCCTGTGGCACCTTTAAGACTAACAGAAGTATTGGGAGCATAAGCTTTCGTAGGTAAGAACCTCACTTCTTCAGATGCAAGTAATGGAAATCTCCAGAGGCAGATATAAATCAGTGTGGAGATAACGAGGTTAGTTCAATCAGGGAGGGTGAGGTGCTCTGCTAGCAGTTGAGGTGTGAACACCAAGGGAGGAGAAACTGCTTCTGCTTCTCTGGTTGTGTACATGCAAATATTAGGATAGCAAATAACTTGTTCACTTTCCACATACATCATTTTTATGCCTCTATATAAAGCTATAACTAAGGTTGTGGGCCAAGTCCTGCCCTGCTTACTGAGACAAAACTCACACTAACTTCCCTGGCCACCTAGAATCCATACAATCAGAGAGTCAGTGCAGTTACAGGGTGAGCTGCACTTTCGACTCCTTTGCAGTACCTCAGGTATACTGCTCAGATGACCGGTGTTGCTTCCTTCACCACCTCTCTGCTGTTCAGCTGCTCTTGGAGTGTATCTCTGGGTTACAGCTTCCACCCCACCCCCTGCCGTTTCCCCAGGATGTTAACACAACAGTCCCAACTGTATTCGGCACCTGCAGGAAACTTCCCTCTGGGAGCCTGTGAACAGGGGCTGATTAAAGTGACTAAAAACAGCTTCAAAATGAACATTATTTATTCACCCAAAGGTAAATGGTAAGCAGAGAAAAGGGTTCAAAGAACAGAATTTTGTCTACATCTGGTCTTGACTAAACTTTATCCTTTCAAGTTCCTCTTAGCCCGGGTACATCAGTCTCTGGGTGGGAGAGACAAACTGCCTTGCATTCTTCGCTTGTCTCAATGTCTGTCTCTGAACATCTCACCAGAGCAGCAGCTGCTGGCAACTCCCACTCCCCCTCTCCCTCAAGAAAAAAGTTTTTAACTGTTTATGGTCCTTTTGATCTCTAGTCTCTGTTTTTGGCAAATCAGATGTGTCACTTTAGGCTGGCATCTGTGAAGACCATCTCCCCAGTTAATGGCCCAATGATTGTTCCCTTGAAATTGTTTACCCACAGCTGTCTTATCTCTGCTCATTGTTTTTTTCTTCTTGCTCTTTCTATTAGCCCTTTTTAATTCTACGCTGCGTGGTCAGACAGAATGATATTAAGGAAATAATATCAAGCCGAGGTACATATAATCATTAAAATAATACAGATATCTCCCCCATTCTCCACGGGCATTTTCAAAGAGGTGGACATGGGACGAGAACAAAATCTATTGTCCCTGACACAAACTGCAGTTATGTAGCCAAATTAGCATTTTGTGGTTTTCACGTGTTGCACTGTTTTTGAAAATTTAGTCTTGAGACGAAATATTAAATTTCAGAATTACCACCACACCTTTACTAAACACATCCACATTTGCTGAAGGTCTACAAGAAATTAAAAATATTCTTCTGGGATGAGCTGGGTCATGTTTAGAGCCTAGGACAGATTCTTCCTAGGTTCTCTATTTGGATTGATCAAGTCATGATCAAGAACTAAGCAGGAAAACAGGATATTCCTTGAATCATGAAATAGATTTAAGAATAGGAAACTATTTTTAAGCAGGAATATAGCTGTATAAAGAATTGATCCAGCCATGTCTTGTATTCCTGGATAAATCTACCTATCTCTTCCTCATGCTGATTCTGTTCTGCTACATTCTGCACTGACATGGCTAAATTGGTCTCTATTTTTCTTTTTTTTTTCTTTTTCAGTCCAGATCGCACAAGCAGTAATGCAAAAAGAACTATTACTACAAAAAAGAGAGAAAGAAACATATTAAAAAACAACAAATGAAACCTATTGTTCAATATAAAATAAAGATGTTAGGAAACTTATCTGTGCAGGGAAAAAGAGCATGCACGTTTTTTGCAGCAAAGCTGTGTTCTTGAACATAATACCTCTAGCATGAGGCTATAGTTCCCATCTGCAGTGAAGTCTGTTACAATGTCTTCCTCACTGCAACATGTAAAACTGAGCAATGGGATTGCATAGCAAGCACCAGAGCAGGATATTTTCTGCTTCTTTCTTAACCCTCCCTTCCCAGTGATCATTAAAACAGTTCAAACAATTGCCTAGACTTTTTCCGGTATATATTATTGACAATTTAATTGTTAACAATGAGGTCTTTTAGATGGTGGAATAGTGTCTTAAAGGGTAGGGTTGAAAGTCTATCGCTGAGTCATTTAAAACTGCACTGGAAAAAAGCACTTAACAATATACCATAGGGAACAGCCCTGCACTGATAATGGAATGAGCAATGTTAATCTTTGACTCAGTACTTCTTTTCCAACTCTAACTTCTATGATCTTCTGAATAAATACCCTGTGGTTACCTGTATGTGCAATCTACTATAGGAAAGTAGGTGGTTGCTCACAAGTATGATGTTTTCCTATGCCTCACAGAATACATGCTAACCTACAGGCAATTGGAGTTCCTAGTATAAAACCGCACAAAAGCAGCAGTATTATACACCCTAATTGTCCCAACAAAGATGTAAGGTTCTCACCTGGTCTCTGTCTATCAAGTCAACCCAGTTAGCAAAAGAAGGATCTTGATGGAAATCGGATGCTGTATGCTAGCTGACCCACCTACTGGGTAAACCAAAATAATGATGGGTCCTATGCGCCCACTCTGTTACATGGCGTGGCATGGAGCTGAATCATGCATATGCTCAGAAAATTGGGCTGAGCACTTTGTAAAGAGGAAAAGTAGTTTCAGGATATGACAAGTTATCAGTGGATTTTTCCCAGTATAATAAATCAATGACTATTCCATGTCCCTGTGCTATCATAGGTTGAGACCGTCCCCCTGCAACGTATTAATAATAATTAGTAATAATAATTGTGGAGGTTCCATGTAGGATGTGCAGGAAGTATCAGTGATATTTTCTGAGCTGTAAATTAGCGTTAGACATTGGTCGCCTTTCTCAAACATATAGAATCTTGCTGGTCCTTAACCCTTTCCTCTCTCGCTGTTTCAGGGAGATAGGGGAGTTCCTGGTCTTCCTGGCCAGCCGGGAGACAGAGGTGCACCAGGAGTTGGAGTAGCTGGACCTCCTGTAAGTACTAAGCAGACCTCACTCACTTGTGATAAGACCAAAACACGCCCATTGCCAGCTGCTCGAATGAGCATGGAGTGCTAAGCTGCGGGGTGAAAGCCCTTACTGTTCTCGAAGTGGATAATATCAGTTTCTGCTGCTCCTGAAATGATCTGTGTGGTTTTGACACATTGGCTCTGCGTGACACCAGAGCTCTGTGTCATTACACACTGAACACAGTGTCTTTTGGGATGTGTGCATTTCTGTTGCACAGCATGTCTCGCTAACTATTTAGCTACCGTACAGATTAGCATTTAACACCAATAGACCACAAGTGAAATTTCCACTGGGAGCCTGAGGCCCTTCTGACTTCATATTTCCCCAGCTCGCATGTTGAGTCTGGTTAAGATACAAAAACCAAAACCATTTTTTTCAATAAATACCATTATTTTCCTTCTTTATTAAGTTTTAGAAAATTGAAGCAAACGATTAAGCATTCTGATTAGCGAGTCTATGCTGTAGTCAGGCGTCTTAATAAACAGAAAGATACAAAAGTATTTTAAAACCTGATTTTCAAGAGAACCACATTCCTTTTAAAACTTCTTATTTGTAGTATTTTGACCATTTAAGTGTATAGAATACTTTTCAATTGAGATTTATTTGAATCCTGTGCAATGATGCCCTTTGTGCTCACAGCTCTGTCAGCTGCTTTCACCTTTGGAATTTTCTCCCCTTCGATAGACTACAAAGTACATCTTTTGGACTATGCTCTAGACAATTTGGGTTTTTTATGGCACTGGGGTCTGATCCTGCCAGGTAGTGAGTGTGTTGGATCCCTGATAATATCAATGAGATCTGAGGACACTCCTCACCTTTCAGATGCTGCTCAGAATCTTGCAAATTCAGGTCCCAGGTGTGTAAGTGTGTAAACAGACTTCATTCTTGGTCACACCCATTAGAAGGTAGCAAACATCTTAAAATCCTTTATAGCCATCTGTGCATCCTCACATACTGTGTCTTAGGGTTAGTAGTCCCTACTCCAGCCAATACTTGCCAACGATACCCTGCAGTGGTATCTAGATTTTGCACTTTCCCCTTATACCTGGAACAGGAAATAACTCTGCTATGGTAAGCTATATCCCTGTGTGGTAACTGATGATAAATGCTGACTGTATAGTTTGCATTTCCCATGCTGGGGACTTCTTGTTTTAGAGGAGATTAGGCAAGAGGTCAATCATTTAATACCCAGTTTCAGTCATAACAACATGAGATCTGCACCATGGCCTCTGCTTTACCCAAAGGGCACATGCTATTCGGGATGTGCCAGACTTTTGGCTAGCACGTTGGTGAGGCTTAGTGATTTGCTCCTGCTCTGGCACGTACGAAATCCCGTTGCCTTGATTTCTAAATGACAGCTTGTTTTTCCTTGGGTAAGCTGAAAGCCTCTCAGGCATGAGTGCTCATACTTTAAATGTGATTATGATTACACCAGGCTAATTAATGTCAATGAGAATTTTAAAATTAATTTATGAATTAAGAAAATGCATTAGCTTTTGTGAAGCCTGGTGTGTCATTACTGTTTGTTATTTATTAGTTATTGGTAAGGCACAATATAAATCACGATTTCACAGAGAACATGGAAATCATGAAAATGCCCCCAAACCATTATCTTTTAAATATTTTTTTAAAGGACAATGTCAGCAACAAAGTCTTTAATACAGAACATTACTTAAGCTGGTCAATTTCAAGGATGCAGTGAACTTTACAAGTAAATGTAGTCAGTTTCAAGGACAGAATGAATTTTCCTTGTATAATTCATTTCATCTTTGAAATTGACTACATTTACTTGTAAAATTCATTCCTTGCAAACTCCATGAAATTGTAATACTTTTGCCATCGTGAATTTGTCATGAATTCCGCCCCACCCCGCAAAAACCTGTGATTTACACAGGGCCCTTGTTACTGGGCTCAAAACAGGGGTACCTGGATGAAATTCTATAGCCTAAGTTTTGCAGGATGCCAGACTAGATGATCTAATGGTCCCTTCTGTCCTTAATATCTGTAAATATGAATGACTAGACTAAGAGTATCAGAAACTGGCCCAACTGTGTATATCATTCATCTTACTTCAGGGCACTGTTTTTTCCTAAGTCAGAAAGAGTTATACTGCTTGCTCACAACAAAGACAACAAGTATGATATTACCATCTACCAGTCTGTATCATGGACATGCATATAGGTATGGAACCTGCTTCCATGTTGGCCTGTTGCTCGCAGTGATGATGTGAGGCTAATTCCAGAACTGCCCTGACTTTTATTTCCCATTCTGTTTCCCATTCTGCTGACTTTTTATCTCTTTCTCTCTAGGGGCTTTCTTTCTTTCTTTCTTTCTTTCTTTCTTTCTTTCGATTCCTCTCTGCTTTCACTCCATTTATTCTGATCTCAGCTACACTGGCAGCTCGTCAGTCTGGAGCAGGGGTCGGCAACCTCTGGCACGCGGCTCGCCAGGGTAAATACCCTGGCAGGCTGGGCCAGTTTGCTTACCTGCCACGTCAGCAGGTTCGGCTGATCGCGGCTCCCATTGGTCGCGATTCGCCATCCCAGGCCAATGGGAGCGGCGGGAAGCCGCAGCCAGCACATCCCTTGGCTCACGCTGCTTCCCGCAGCCCCCATTGGCCTGGGATGGCGAACCGCGGCCAGTGGGAACCGCGATCGGCTGAACCTGCCGATGCGGCAGGTAAACAAACTGGCCCGGCCTGCCAGAGTGCTTACCCTGGCGAGCCGCGTGCCAAAGGTTGCCGACTCCTGGTCTGGAATATTGATGTTGCTGGAGTTGAGATTTGCACTGGTGTAAGAGATCAGAGTCTGGCCTGTCGCGTGTGTGCATCCTACCCCAGCTGCCAGAGAGAGAGGAAGAAAGCGCTGCATGGGAGAAATGGATGAACTCTCGCTCATGATGATATTTCCTCATGGAAGTTTCCTTAGCTGTTTCCATGTGCTTGATGTTGGTTACTGTAAGGAGATTTCTCTCTCTCTCTCCATGGGTTGCAGTTTGGTGGATTAAACAGCTTGTAAGTCTGCATCCTTGCAGCCCGAAATGAGCAGCTGCTGTGAACCCACTGGGCTCTGTGCCTCGGGCTCCTTTATTCTATTACCGATTATACCCTGCGGTTACTCGCTGCCTGGAAGACTGTTGGACACAGCACTCTGCGTGTTCTTGTTTTCTTTAAACTCCTCTTCCTTCAGTTACTTTCTTTGTTGCTAGCTTCATCTGTTTCAGGGCGACCTCCTGCCAAGTTGATTCTGTTCCTTTTCCTGACCGCTCCTCCTATGCTTTCCATTAACTCTAAACTTATGTTGCTCTTTAATCACTCACACCAGGATGTTAAATTCAGGCTCTGCTGCCCTTTTCATCTATGTGTTGTTGCTGTTTGTTTGCAGGGCCCGGTGGGACCAGCAGGAGACAAAGGGCCATCGGTACAGTATGTCTTGCTAACTACACCCAGCTTTTACAGAGGGGGCCCGCCATGTAGTCAAATGTTGCATTCTCTATTGATGATTTTGTTAAGGCGTGTTTATAGTTTCCGTTTGCCTGATAATGGTGGAAAGATACAGCTAAATTATTTAGGCCAGCGTTTCTCAAACTGGGGTTTGGGAGGGTACTGCAGGGGGGACATGGGCCCCGCTGATCAACTCCTCCCCCCCCCCCAACTACTCTGCCTCCCTCCCAGCGCCTCCTGCACACTGGAGAACAGCTGGGAGAAGGGGGAGGAGCGGGGATGGGCCACGCTCAGGGGAGGGGGTGGAAAGAGGAGGGGCAGGGGTGGATCGAGGGTGGGAAGAGGAGGGGCAGGGATGGGGCCTTGGGGGAAGGGATGAAGTGGGGGTGGGGCCTGGGGCTGAGTGTAGGGCATGGGGGACACTGACAATTTTTAAATCAAAATGGGAGTGCTTGGGTGTCTAAAGTTTGAGAACCACTGATTTAGGCCATGATCCAGCAAAGCACTTAAGCACCTGCTTAACTTGGGGACTACTCACGTGCTTAAAGTTAAGCATGTGTGCAAGTGTTTTGCTGGACTTTTGGTAGAAAATAACAATACATCGTCTCACTCCTGTCGTATCTAACCAGTCACAAGATAGCCATGATTCACCAGTCTGCCACTCTGTCGTGATAAAATCCTAGCTTCAACTGACTTCTGCTGACACTGGTGTAAATGTAGCAAGTGGAGTTAATCCTGATACATAGTGCAACAGGGAGATCGGAATTTTGCCCCTTGTGCTCATCATTTAGCGCAGGGGACGGGAGACAGGACGTCTGGGTTCTGTTCGCCCCTCTGCAGCATGGCCTTGGGCCAGTCAGTTCTCTCTCTGCCTAACCGTGCACACCTGTGAAAGTGCTATAACGCCGACCCCACCGAGGGGCTTAAGTTGTGAGGCTTAATTTATGGATAGCTGCAAAGTTCCTTGAGTTCCTTCAATGGAAGATATTATATTAGCACCGAGTGTGATTAAGTTTTTCTGGAAAGTCAGTTCGGATGTTGCTAGTTAAATGGGTTCTCGTAGCTGATGGGCTGGGAGTTCCATTTCCGCAGCAGACAGGAATCTGGCCGCTGCTAAATATGTGGATGGGGTAAAAACGATGCTGCCAACATTTCTGATCAGGTTTATTTCTTCTCATTTTACCAGGGCCCTCGAGGTTTACCAGGTGTTCCAGGCCCACAGGGGCCAACAGGGCAGGATGTAAGTAAAGAAAGTGAGAGTTTAAGTGTTTATTGTAGTTAAAAGGGCTACCCACAGTCAATATATCACCTTAAAAAAACCCTGTCTTTATCGGTCCAGGAGCTGGTTCTTTAGGGTGGGCCAATGAGATAATTAATAGTGATGGAACAAAATTAACCAAAGAAAAATTTATGTCAAACATCTGGTAGAATGACCTAAAAGACCTATTGGACTGCGGAATAATGTCTCTAGGGAAGTGGGGGAAGACCCATCACTGAGCCTGTTAGAACGACACTGGAGAAGGTATACTGTCTGGGAATAATCCTGCACTGGCTGGGGAAGCCTCAAGATAGCCAGTCACTTTCTTGGGTTTATGATTTCTCTGATTCTCTGACACTTTAATGAAAACAGGAATCTTGGGCCCGGGGGTCCCTGATGGCTTTTTGTTGCATTGCCATGCGAAAGAGATGACATTTTACCTCTTCCCAGCCTTTCTTCCAACTCCTGCCTTCCCAGAGTGTGAGTCACAGAAGTGATGCTCTCCGTGATGAGGAACAGAGGGAGGTCTTCACGTGTCTGCTGGGGGAAGCTGATCCCTGCCCCTGGTTTGTGGACACTTGCTGTGTCACAAGCACTGCTCTGTGGAAGGAGGAGGAAGCTCTTTGCAGATCAGCAAGTGCTGAGATCTAGGAACCAGTCCTTGGTGGAAGTGGGAAAAGGGGCGCTGGATGTGTTTAAAGGGGGTGACACTGACATAACATTGGGACATGAAAAGCTGGTGCCTTCATGTAACTCTCCTTCTCTACACAGTGTTGTGACACCGTAGGACCCTAAATGAACCCCAGGTTCTCTAGGCTAGCCCCATGAAAATATATGCCACGGCTTCAGAAAATTGAGGGGCTGATGTAACAATCGTTGGGTGTAGCTCCGTTGAGGTAATCTGATTGGCCCAAAGAGACATACTGTGAATCTGAATGGATCTCTTCTCTCTTCCTCCTGGGGGTTTGCAGAGGGACATCTCATTTTCTTCCTGCACACTCGGGTTCCTCTAAGTGTGGTCTCGCTCTCCTCACCCCACCATGGGGAAGAAGGGATGAATTATCTCCTACTTTCCCTTACTTCTGGGGGACCCAGAGATTCTCTCCATGCTGGTACTGTCCTGCGGCGTGTGCCTAGCTCTCCAGGAGCACTGACCCCCCCCCTGCAGCCATCACCCTGCTCCCTCTGGGAGAGAGGGTGCTGAGAGCTTGTTTTGGCTAAAGGAGGGTAGTAAAGTTAGCTGAAAGTTAAAGCACCTTAGTCTTCCAAGAGTATCTACAGTCTTTTAATCGCAGGATTTTTACCTGTCTCAAGGAAGCAAAGTGTAAGAAGCGATGTGCCGTCTTGCCAGCATTTCCCGAGTTCCCCAGAAGAGTAATTATAAGACAAGTTTCTCCTTTACACACGTCTCAGTCAATGACGTTGCAGTTCCTTGGGAACCGCAACTGTTCCCCACTGAAATTCATTACCACCGTTTCATATTCATAAGCCAGAGCAAGACAAGAGGCCGCAGAAGGGCCCTTCTTTGGACGCCGGCGTTAATGCAGACACAGGAAAAGAGCAATTGAAATTTCTTCTGATTTCTTCCACCCCGGCTGAGGCCAGGTGGGGCGATCACCGATACAGTCTGATGTCACTCAAGAACACACACAGCAGTGGAGACCAGGAGTGTGCAAAGGAAAAGGACAGGACCTTTCCATGGGACTCAGTGGTGCCTCACAAAGCAGCCCTGACAGAACTGGAGATGGCAGGAAGCATTGTGCTGCAAGGCACCCAGAGTGCTGTGTACCTTCCCCTCTGCAGCCCACCAGCTCTGCTGACGGATGGTGAGGGACCAGGCCCTTCCATGCCCTGCCTCTCCTCAGAGAATTTGCTTTCCATGCTCAAGTTTGAAAATGTCAGTCTCAGAGCGGTGCTGGCTATGAGAAGAGCCGTGTTGCCAGATTTCATGCAGCCAAATGTCACGGGTGTGCAATTGCCTGAAATGAACCGGCCTACGTTTCTGTGGAACACTTCTCCACATAGATGTAGGCCTGACTGATAAGTAAGGGGGGCAGTGGCAGGCACCCCAAGGATGAGGATCTCAAATGTTGCCAGATTCTGGCCCTTCTGGAGGCACTTCCTACATAGCCCCTTCCATGTTATAGAATGTCTTCCTTTCCCTTCCAGGCCCAGACCTCAGGTATTTGACATATTAGTGGTGCCTTGCCAATTGCCCATCTCAATCTGTCTCTATCACACAGCACATCTCTGAAAACTGGTGTCAAACTGCTCCCACAAACGATGACTCAATGGTGCTCCGAGTGACTGCCAGGATCCAATCTTGCAGTTTCTGATGCAGGATCGGGGCCTTAGTTTTAAATGCTCCAGTTGGGCTCAGTCTTCAGTGCTTCATTCATCTCTCCTTGAAACTGCTGCAGCTCAACCAAGTATTACCTGTGCCTTAAGTGACCATGAAAACATGATGAACCAGATTTGCCCAGGGGGTAACTTCAGTGGCATTAAGAGTAAAACCAGTGAGGAGTATGGAAGTATGTGTAGTGAGAGCAAGTAATTCAGAGATGGAGAGAGGTAGATTCTAAATGTTACCAACATTTAGATACATTAGTAGTTCTTGTAGAAGTGTGTGTGATTGTCCCAACACTGGCAGGGTTGTGTGACAGTAGGCACAAATGAGCAGTATCCTGGGATGGCGTGTTTATGTGTGTGTATGAGGAGCGGGAAGAGAAGAAAGGTCTTATTGTGAGTTAATCTCATAGATTTTTCTCTCCCTTGTCCATAGGGTTTACCTGGAAATCCTGGGGACATAGGACCTCCTGGAAAGCCAGTATGTCATTTCACTTTTAGATTAAATCCCAAACAATTCTGCTCTTCTCCCTTTTATATCAGTACCTCCATATACCCCATCCTTCACAGTGACCGTTAAATGTCACTCACTTGCTGTTCTAACCGGAAGAACAGCTACAAGAACTAAGAGCGAAGAGTGATTACGGTAGAAGCGCCTGTGGTAGGTTTGGCTCAATATAAAAATAATTGAATATGCTGTATGTAAATGAAAGCAAAAGCTCGTAACAACATTCTCTTAGTATTTGCATATAAAACCCAAGGCCAGAATCTGTATTTTCTACACATGCCCTGCCCAATCTATCCCTGTATTCTGGAATACATTTATAATGCCATTGACAAAGGACATATTGGGCCCAATGAGCAACAGACAGTGCAAGGAAAATCAGTACCATACCACAGGGAATTTTCATGCAAATTTACCTTCAGTGTCTCATTTTATAAAACTACTTTTTAAGTTTGTATTAAACAACGGATTTCTCTTTCCACAGGGTGCCTCCTCCCTGCTTTCTCCTGAGGACATAAATCTTTTAGTCAAGGTACAGGCGGAAATTGCCTTTGTAATGAGATTGTTTTTTGCTTTTAAGTTGATGACTGATGCTACATTATGGAGATGTGTCTGAACTGTGAGTGCCAGATGTGCATCTGAATATTCTAAACAGCCAGATGTGCAAGCAGTTTGCAGTTCATAGAGTCACACTGTCAACTGGTGCCATTGGGGACACATTAGAGACCAAAGGGGGTATGGCCCGAGTTAGATACGCTCCAGTAATCTCCACCAGTGTAATGGCCTACAAAGGCCCTTACAAGCTGGTGTAAGTTAGAGCAGCCCCAAAGTTGCTGCTCTAACTTTTAGTGGGGCCTGAACTGGCCCTCTGAAGCACCAGGATCAAATATTTTCAAGCATAATTCCCTAAAGATAGGCTTTAAATGCCACTGAAAGCATCTAAATAAAGGGGCCCAATTTTCAAAAATGCTGAGCCTCTATGTCTCCTGCTTAAGTCAGTTTAAGCTGTAGGTGCTCAGTGCCCTTTGAAAATCAGTCCACGTTTGCATTAGGTGTCTAACTGGGGATGTAGGTGCCTACCATTAAGCGCCCACATTTGAAAATGTTGGTTTGTAGGTTTGCTTTTGCTGTCCATGAAGACGATTTCATGGGAAATGATTCAGTATTTGACACCAAGCAGCTGCTAAATCTTTACTGATGACCATGGGCACAGTAGCGAGATTTTTAAGCAGTCTAGGGACATGGCAAGAAATCTTTTCCTATTGCTTAAAAGGCACTGAAAAAATGAACTGCTAACTGGCCCCCTTCTTAGAGCTGAAAAGAGCAGCCCTCTCTAGTTACTACCTTGAGATGAAACCTTGTATTCACACAGCATCTCTTCTCCAAAGATCCCAAATATCTTTACACAGAGTGCACTGTATGAAGTTGTTTTGTATTCGGTAGCACCTGGAGACCCCAGCTGAGCTCAGAGCCCCATTTGTCTAGGGGCCATACACCCACACAGTCGGAGGCAGACCTTGGTCTAAAGTGCCTATATTCTAAGTCAGACAGACACCCAAAGAATAGCAGGGAAAAGAGCGGCAAAGTGCATTGCCCAAGGTCATACAACAGATCCCTGGCAGAGCTGGGGATAGAACTGAGCCCTCCTGCCCTATCCACTGGACTGCACTGCTTCTCTGTATACTGGGCTCACTTCACCCACCACTGAAACAAGGCCAACCCTCAGGCGGAAATGCTAGGAATTCTGTACGCTTGCCGGGTGGTTTTTGAAATAAAGAATCATGCACTGAGCTGACACTTCAAAGGACAGTGGAGGGAGACAGAGCGTAATTCCCCATGATGGAATTTGGCCAGGGTACTGTGGCATACATCTACTCTTGCAACAAATGCCAAGAGATCTTTCACGACCACAAGTGGGCAGTGCTTCACTTCTCCCTGTTAGTCCACAGTGCCTACCACCACTTTGCTGGACATAGGTTCAGTACTGACTAGGAGGGCAAGTGCCCCCTCTAGGGGTGGGAAGACTGTGGCATGAACTCCCCCCCTAAATTAAGGACCATCAAAAACCTGACCACTTTCCATTAAAAGTGCAAGGCACCTTTCTTTAACCTGCCTTCTCTAACATAAACACATAGCAACAGGTTTTTATGTTAAAAACACCACACTGCATGAGACACTCCACTGCACGTTTCTCCCTGCAGGGAGAGGATGAGAGAGAGCAAACAACACGTGACAAATGTGTAGCCATATCGCTCAATGCACTACTGGAAGGCGCTCAGATACCATGGTCACCAGCGTGGTATAAGAACCTATAGAGAATAGAGTAGGAGCCGCCCCCAACTCCCTACAGCTCCTGGGTTTTCCCTGGACAGCTGCCCTCCAAGCACTGACCCAGCCTAGCTTTTGAGGTTGGATAAGACACTGTTTTGAATCTGTAAGTTAACAACAAAGACATTTTTTTTTTTTGTATTCCTGCTTCACGTTTCTCCTCTCTCTCTCGCCATTAGAATAGGCCTTTCCCCCCATTCTGTGAGCCTGGCTTGGATACTGCGTTATGACTCATCTGGCCCCCTTGAGGACTGCCCGTAATGCCTACTCAGGTGCCACAACAGTTCTGTGGCCTCCCACTGATTTGAATGGAGCACAGACCTAGAGCGTAGGCCCATAGTGCCGCCGAGCGTCCGTGGGACTGGAAGGGAGCCTCAGTCTCATCCCTAATGCTCTTCTCAGTGTGACCTCCTCTCTTTTAGGATGTGTGTAATGATTGCCCACCTGGCCCCCCGGGGCTCCCTGGAGTGCCAGGCTTCAAGGGGGATAGAGGTGCCCAAGGACCTCCGGGTAGAGATGGCCTGAATGGGAAAATGGTAAGAGAACTGCAGTAAGGTTCATGCTTCAGGATCACTTTGATAACTGTCTTTAGCCTTATTTTAATAGTCCTGCATTTATTGTCATAGTAAGAGCAGTGCACTAGGTGCTTCATAGATGGGTCTGAAGCCCAGCTCCTGTTACAGCCCCTTTACCCTGCTCTGGTAGCATGAAGGAGCTTAGGGGGAGGAGGAGGGGACAGATGGAAGGGTGACGGGGGTGGGGGAGTGGATGGAGAACTCCGCCCTCCAACAATTTAGGGATCTACTTTATGTTGGGGCTTGCTCCAGCCCTGAGAGCAGCCTAGAATACAGGAGCCAGCCATCCCTCTTGCGCTGCACCTCCTATACAACCAGCAGAAGAGCCTGGTAAAACCAGAGAGGACGTTTCAGCCGGGCGCCTGCAGACAAAGAGAAGAGGCTACACACAAACAAAGAGAAGAGGATGAGAAACAACCAAACCAGGAGGGCTGAGCAGAGGAGAGGAGTACAGTTCTAAGAGCTCAGGGACAGCTGGATGGATTTTCTGTTTGTCAGGAGACAGCCCGCGGGAAGGCGTGAGGGAGTAATTTTTAAGGAGGGGCTTGAAAAAGGGGAGGCTGGGGGCCTGTGAATACGTGATACTCGCTGAGAATAAAGGTTGCAGAACTGGATCTCTAATATGTAGGGATCTAAATGGGAGAGGAACAGTCGTGGGACTCTCCTCTCAGTCCACGCATGCCATGTCCAGTACCCCATAAGGACCCGCATCTCTAGCCATCCCTGTGCCCTAATTATCAGGTCCTTCTCCCAGCCTCCCTGCAAGGCCTATGTGGCTCCCTCTCCCTCTACATCAGTTGCATACTATACATAAATTGGCATAGAAAAGTCAGTGGAGTTACTGGTGCAACTGATAGTCTGGCCCCAAGCTTCTGCGTATCTCATGTTATTTCAGATCTTCCATTTACATAGTGCCTCTCACCCCGAAGCACTTAACATATGCGGGAATCGCCTCTCCCGGCCACTGAAGGGCTGCTCTATTGGAGTGGAGCACAGGAGTTGTGTAAGACAGGACGGGAGAGATGCCATATCCAGCCTTAGCCGCGGAGGCAGAATGTGTTTTCCTCCAGTTCAGCCGGGAAACCACTTATTTTTGTAGAAAGCTGCCTGGGCTGTTTAATTGCCACGAGCAGCCAGGACTGTGGTTGTATGTTTTGTCCAAAACAAAGCACCTCTGGGTAGCGCAGTGCCCCCTGGCCCCATGCTGGGGCATTGGTTCAGTACAAATTCAGAGGGTAGAGTCCCATTTATTGAATCCCACCGACTTTTCTTTTTTGAAAGTCTCCCATCCCAGGACTGACCAAGGTTAGCACCTGTGTGCGTGTGTAATACACTAGCTACGTGAGTGTGATTATGTCTCCCTCTAGTGGCTGGCCTGTCTTTTGAATAAGAGCCAGCTTTTGAATAAGACCTTTTGGTGTTAATGGGTCCCTCTGATGCTGTATATATGTAATCAGGAGCTTCTCACACAGGCACAGAGCATCCAGGATAGCTGGACTGAGTCCTAACTGTATTAGGCTGCAGAATTGAAAGCTTATCCGTGCATCTATTGGTTCTGCACATGATGGGTGGCTGGTCACTTACTATGTCTTTCTGAGTTTGTAAGCAATTAGTGTGATTGAGCGCGCTTTCCTCTTTATTGTAGGGCGATCCTGGACCCCGGGGTCTCCCAGGCCCTCCAGGGGTGGATGGTCCAAAGGTCAGTAATTCTCCTCAATTAACATCACCTGGATTGACTCCATTCTTATGTAGAGCAAAGGCTGAAGCGGAATGCAGAGGGGAAGAACTTATGCGGGACTTGAGTGGTAGACAGGCCCTGTGCTACCTTTCTGAATTTCACCCCTGAGTCACACAGCTTCCCCATGGACAGCCCAGCAGTCTAACATAGTATCTAGCACTGCCCCCCCATCTCTGTTTGCAAAGACCAGTTAGGTTTTGATCCTCCACACAGAATTTGGTCTCAATGGGAGCATTGTGCAGGCAAGGATTGCAGGATGGGCGCCTTACTATCAATTTGGATCCGCTCACCTGAGGAAGGAGGGAGAGCCCCAGCCCTGGAAATCCTGCACCTTCCTTTCTACTTGAAAAATTCCTTGCTTGAATGGTTTTGATGTAACAAATGATTTGGTATGCCGGGGGCTACACTGACAATGCACTGAACTGTCGGTCTTTTAAATGGCCACAGTCACTTGGTCTATAGCACCCAGTATTACTTGGAAACGCGTTGGAAGAGGGGCTGATCATTTTAGCTATTTACCACGTCTCAACCTCATATTCAAGGGTCATTGACAAACGCCAAGCGATGAAGGATTCTAGTAATTTAACATTTCGAGCTCTGGCCTTGTGTAACCTCCGTGATCAGTTTGCTCAGAAAGTCAGTGCTTAGTTACGGTTGGAACATTTACAACTGCCTCATGTGAAACAAACCAAAACAAATCAATGGCAATAGAGATAAGGAGTTTCCCCCTAAACTTACCTGCCTTCCAGCACTTGGTTCCAGTCTCAAACAGTGTCTGCTGTTTAATTCCTTTTTATTTGCAGTTATTACAATGAACGAGGAGTTATACTAGTTCAGAAAACTGATTTTACTTCTTGCCATGAAAAGTAGAGAAAGGGCAATAAAGGAACAAAAGCAAAAGTGCCGTCGGTTCAGACAGGAGAACATTCTGAGAGAAAACTCCGAAAACAGCTAGTAACCCAAATAGATGTATGTGTTATAGGTAATTGCTGCAAACACTCAGCTGTCTGAGAAATAATCATTCTCTGCTGTTCAGTCATGCAGTGGGAGGGAAGACTGGGGTGGGAAGACTCAGCATTTGACTGACATAATGGCATAAGATTTGAATTGTCCATATGAACATGAACAAACCTAAATCTAATAGGTGGTCAATATCCCAAGTTGCATTCAGTCCATAGATGCACGTACCCACAGTCTGCAGGTGCTCAAATAAAATAACAGACAGAGAGTAACGCCATAAGATAGCCAGCTGGTCTGTTGGGACTCCTTCCAAAATTCACGGTAGGGCTTCCCTGGGATTTAAAGTGCAGAGTGCGCTGCTCTTCTGAAAGCCCAGCATGGCACACTCTGGGGTAGAAACCCCCAAAACTCCCCAGAGTATAGTTCAGTGGAACTGCAGGTCCTTTCTCGGTCAGTCCCTTCCTGCTCCTCTCAATGACATCAATCCAGACATATTTTAAGTGATAAACTGCAGACTGTTTTCCCCCACTTGCCTAACTGTTGTTCTCTATTGAACGATGCTGTGTGTTGGGGACACTGTAAATTCCACACCCAGCAATTTAGTAGTAATCTGGAACGTTGGTAAAGTTGTATTTTGGGCTTCCCAATCTGAGTAGTTTCCATACAATGTTTTGTTAATTTTTTCTGGTGTGTGGGCAAATAAATGTGGGTTAGGTGGACAGTGAGACCCCAATTCAGCAAAACACTTAAGCAAGTGCTTATCTTTAAGCACATATTGAAGTCAATGAGACTTAAGTGCATGCTTAAAGTTAAGCATATGCTAAAGTGCTTTGCTGAAGTAGAGCCTACAGCTGGGAATGTCATAAACCTTAGTGGCTTTCAATGGCTTTGTTTGTTATCAGGGCACTAAAGGAGACCGTGGGACATCTGGAGATGCTGGACCAAAAGGTGGACAGGTAAAAGAGTGTGCTTCCCAAGTAGTGCAACTGGAATATGCGTCTAGGATATAATCATGACTCCCGCCCTGGCGACACCTGCCCTGGCCTCATTGGGGACAGAGGCAAAGATCCTCAGCACCCCTAACCCCCAGAGGGCGGGAGTAAGAAGACTTGAGCTGGGACTCTCCCCATCAGGATGCCCTCCACTTAAAACCCCTCCTCCCTGCCATCACCATCATTTTCTGTGGAGTGTCTGTAGGCTGCCATTTGGCCTTTATTCCCACCACCGTCACCACCACCTCTGGTATCTCCGGGAGGAATCCAGTTGGCTGCCTCGTCCTTGTTGGTTTTTAAGGGCTGACCGTCTGGCCTCCTTCCTTGGCTAGTGCACAGGTGAGACGTGGGGGTGGGCAGCCTTTTCAGAATTGGGATCCAGAAGGCTCCACCATGTCCTGCTGCTACGCTGTTGTGGTTCTCTCTCATCTGGCACCTGAAAAACCCCAGGCTGTTCACGCTATGAGGGAGTCCCCAGCTACCCAAATGGCTTATCCAAAGATATGATGGGTAAGCAGTTAAGGAGAGGCCTCTGTCTTGTCTGGGGGAGAAACTTGGGGATTTTCCAGGGGAACTGGGATCCCGCAGGAACAGAGGGGAATTAGACAAATTGTGGCCAAAATCAAGCCCAGGTTTGCTGTAGGTTTCATGAACCTTACACTGAAAGTGGGCCAGGTTTTTTGGTCCAGTAATGAAGCCCCATAATCCGGTAAGTTTCAAGTTACAAACATTTTTCCTAGCTCTCATTTTGCATAGCCTTCTGCCTTGGCCTTTTGGTCTTCCTCTCCTGGCTCCGATAAGCATAGACCAGCAGATGCCTTAGGAAAAGTACATCCGCAACATAACTGTGCTTCTTTCTCGACTGACTGCTAACACTGCAATAATTGCTTAGTGAATATTTCCCTTGCATACAAAATATGCAACTCATACCAAGCCTGCTATTATGTTTCTTGACGAGTTATTCAGTCTCCAAAGCCTATGTATATTAAAGACTTTAGATACAGCATAAAAGTGCTTTGCTTTGCAAGCCGAGGCTTCAGTTTGTAATCCCAGGATAGCTTATTTCCTGAGGACCAACCCTTCTGTGTGTTCACGCATTTCACTGTTCTATCACTGCTTCCTTTCGACTGCCATTTATTGACCTAAAATCTGGGGGACGTAACTGAAGAGTGAAGAAGAGATTGAGTCTAATCTAATAGCTCTCTTGTGATTCTGCAGGGTCACCCTGGAATGCCTGGCTTCGCGGGACCTCCTGGAAACCCAGGGCCCCCTGTAAGTTTTCCTCCTTCCCCCTCCCCACCATTGAGACGTGGATCATCATGCTGCATATGTGTGTGTCTCTAATAAGTGTAGCTGCAGACTGCATATGCCACAGAGGGCCACTTCCACCCACGTCTGTGCCATTTCTTTTAAGTTTCCCATTGGGTTCGTAATCGACCCTGGAGCATCATAGAGTCCCACACTCATGATAATTGCTTCTTAACGCAGCTTGCAGCCATTGCTTTGCCTCATGAACGTAAATTTATGCTAAACGTTGGTTGCTTCCTTTATAGAAAAGACAATGGGCATGACATTTCTTTTCACTGAGCCCACATGGTAAAAAATATTGGTGCTTCCTGTGGAAGCAGAGAAAGAACTGACAGGAAGGGGATGCAATGCATGACAGTTCGTTAGCAAGAGTTAGGCTAACTGTAACCCTACTGACGAACTGTCATGCATTGCATCCCCTTCCTGTCAGTTCTTTCTCTGCTTCCACATTCCCATCTATTAGACGAGGCTGCCAGTTGGCTTTAGAAATAACAACGGTCAAAAGGGAAAATGTTTGGCTCGTTGACGCGTTAAATGACACACAAGGATCTTAGACAAGGGTTTCTCTAGTTTTCTCGTGTTGTGGACTTCTTTGGATAGGATTGTCCCCCCACTGTCGTGCGTCGCCCTTCCCAGTTCCCCATGCTCCACATTAGCAACGGTGCTTCTTTACATGACAAAAGCATATTAGGATGGTGTTGAAGAGACACGGCTAAAATCGGTTTGCTTGAGTGCATTGTGTGCGGCCACTTATGTCTCCCAAGAGCTCTATCTTTTCCCTGATTGTAGGACTCTGACAAACCTCCCTTGAAGCCACTCTGGCTTAACCTGGCCGGGTCCCTTTGCAGTTTGACCCTAGCCCTCCTAAATGTTTGCAACCTCCCTCTAATCCCTGTGTCAGCAGCAATCTGAGCATGGCAGAATTTATATTGCACTGTTGCTTTGCCATTGTGACATCAGCACCACCAGGAAGGGCTCGGTGGGTCGCTGAGCACGGTTTCGAGGACTCAGACAGTGAATACATGCTTTCTGGCCCAGAATCATAGAACTTGTTGGGTTGGGATGGTAGCTAGAGTGGGTGCCCACATCCATTTGCTTACCTATTTGCCGGATTGATTGCACAACCTCTAAACCAGACTACCTAGTCTCTTCACATATTCAAGTTATGATTAGGACCCAACCAATTTCACGGCCGTGAAAAACATGTCACGAACCGTGAAATAAGCCCATCCTCGTGAAATCCGATGTCCTCTTGTTCCTAGGAGCACCCCAGCAAAAGGGGGCTCCTAGCTTTGGCTGGGCTGGGGAATGATAGCATCCCCTGCACAGCTGCTCTGGAAGAGGGGTGAGACCAGACCCACCTCTGGGTGCCTCCCCCTGCTGCAGCATGCTCTGGGATTGGGCAGCAGCCCCAGAGGTTCCTGCAGCTGGAGGAGGCTTGTGGAGTTGGATATGATCTTCCCCGTGCTGCTCGGAGCGCCCCAGCAGGGGGCTGCTAGTCCGGGCAGGGCTGGGGCAGGACAGGACTTGGGTATCTCTCCCAACTGCAGATAACTCCACAGCCCCTCCGCCCCACTCTGTCCAGCTCTGAAGGCAGCACAGAAGTGAGGGTGGCAATCTCATGACCCCGTACAACAGGTTTGCGACCTCCCCCCACAATCTCCTTTTGGATCAGGACCCCCACGGTTACACCACCATGACATTTCAGATTTAAACGTCTGAAAATGTGAAATTTACCAATTTTCAAATCCTATGGCTGTGAAATTGACCATACATTACCATGAATTTGGTAGGGCCCTAGTTATGGTGATTCCATAGCCCGCCTGAGCAGCTTGCCTTGATGCCAAAGACTTTATAATTAATAAAGTTTCTCATAATATTTAACCTACATTTTTCTTGCTGCAACCTGTGCCCGTGATGTCTTGTTCTGTCCATATTGACTAATGAGTCCAAGATTTGCCTTCTGCAGCATATGCTCCGAGATATTTCTCCCAGCAGTTCTAGTCTTCTCAGAGTTAGTCTGGGCACAATCTTTTTCTAATTACTGTATATTTTCTGGAATGGCAAACAGTCAAAAATGTCTGACAATGTATGGCTTAGGAGGCTAATTATATACTGAGGTTGGTGACTGCTTTTCTGAGATGAATGAATGTGAATGAATGCTAATAGGTATGAATGACAGAAAACTGTCATGTTGCCATCTGTGGTACTGCCTGTGTTGACAAGGATACGCTACGAACGAGCAATTCATATTCTTTCTGCTTTGTTTTATTTAGGGACCAGATGGCAAACCAGGACCTGCAGGACCCCCAGGAATGCCTGGGGATACAGTAAGCCATTGACCAGGGGGTTAGCTTCTTTAGAGTGAGGCTGAACTGAAGCAAACATGATGTTTTCCCCCAAGCCCCCCAAGTGATATTTAAAATGCTATTCATGTTGAATAGACCCTGCTGGAAACTCTTTGTTTCCTTTACTTCTATGCAATCCAACCTTTCCAGAATTAGAATTCCTGATACAGCTGTGATGTGATGGGAAAACCCTTCAGTGAGCAGGTGGCTTCCCCACTCTTCTCCAAACTCAGTCCACATAAGTTATAGCAGGATAAATATCCTCCCTTCCCAGGGTTTGGTTTTATTCACCGAAGGAACTTAAAATTCAACCGCATGAATCCAATCCAAGCTTTCTACTCAGGCTTGTCATCTCCTAAGGTTACTCTCAGACCTGCTCAGCCCACAGCCTAGGTTTGGATCTCAAGAGAGAACCTACTGTCTCTCTCATATCCATACAGGTAGTGACCCACGTGCAACACTGAATCAGCAAAACACACTTAAAATTTCCGAGCAGGATCATCACCTGCTGACACAGTGCTGGAAAATAAGGGTGAAGTGCTAGCGACTCCACAAGGCCTGCTAGGGATTTCGTTATTGCTATCGGTTGTACAAGGAAAGTGCTCAGATACTACCGTGATGGGTGGCAGTAAAATACCCTGAGAGAGAGAGAGAGAATCTGATCTGGCTCTGATTGATCTTAGCTTTTGAATCTGGTTGATCTTCATTGCAAAGTGAAATAGAAGATTCCTTGTTATGAATCAATGTCTCTCTTGTTTCTGAGAGGAGGCATCTTGGAGTAACACAGGCTGTTGAGTCAGAATAATGCAGCTGTGTGTAATTATGATGCATTTCTGGAATTGGATTGCTCAGTGTTTGCTAACGAGCCTGTCGCCCCTTGGCCATTTCTTCAACTCTAGCCTTCATCAGAATTCACCAAGAATTGCCCCTCTGATGGCTGTTGTGAGATGAGTTAGTCTTAGCAGAGAGGCCAAGGACCAAGCTTTTCTTTCAGCCCTAACAGGTGGTCAGGGTGAAGCAATGTGTGACAGCCTGTGTGCTGTACAATCCCATAGATAAACAGGATTTCATTCACAGGGACAGTCAGCTAAACACCTTTCATAGCCACCAATTTAATATATACAGACTATAAAACATGCATTGACTGGCTTTTATATTAATGTCAATAGCACAGTGCTGGGCAGAGACTTACTATGTTGTTATCCACTTCTTCACAATTTACACTTTTGAGACCAAATCCAGCCCTCTCTTAAGAGGCTGCAATTCCCACTGAAGTCCATGAGAGTTGCATCTGTTTATCTTGGAGGCTGAATTTGGCCTTTGGTGTCAATAACTGTGAATATAGCAAAGCAAAGTTTGGTCCCTAAGGGAGTGGAAGTGGGAATGCATTAGAGACATGTAGTTCATTTCTCCTCCCCTCCCAACTCCGAGTTTGCAAAGTGTTCTTCCTTGTGAAGCAGCATCTGAAAAGCTTTTCTGAACATTGCCACATCAATGGTCTCTTTACAGGGTAAAGATGGCCCACCAGGTCTCCTGGGCCCACCAGGACTGCCTGGCCTTCAGGTAAGGGACAATTGCTTGCTATTTCTCATTCAATATGTTACACTTCCTGTAAGCAAGTGGACACAGCCAGTGACATTTCTGAGCTGTCTTGGAGTGGATGTGAGATTTATATTCACTGGGCTCCATACAGTGTGAGTTCTGGGTCGGGCACCTTCCAGCCAAGTGATAGTTTCCAAAATAGATTCATCTGTTCCTCTTGCCTGACTCTTATTTCCCTGGCAGAGATCTTCCCATAGGGCACCAATGTGAGATAATGCCTCCAAGCCTGTGGGAACAGATAATTGTATCTGCAATTCATACTACTACAGGGGATGGGATTTTATGTTCTAGTGTCCAGAATGTAATGATCCCCCCTGTATTGGCTCAAGAACAAGTGCAGGATCAGTTTAATATCTGAAACCCCACTGATCTGGCAACTGTGTTGATCTAGTGAGTCTTATCTATCTCTAATGTCTATGGGCCAGATCCTCTCCTGGTGTAAATCAATGTAGTTCATTGAGTAGTCAGTGGAGCGATGCTGATTTATGCCACCTGAGTATCTGGCCTTACATTCCTATCTTTAAGCAGTGTGAGGGATGCTGATAAGGTGAAGCATCATGCGTCTGACTCCTCTGTACTTCCCATTCTGGAACATGAAAGAGCCTGTGGTGTTGGCAGGGTGCGGGAGTAGAGACCGTGGGGGCTGGACAGAGCTGTTGTTTGTAAATAGCTGAGGTGTGGAAGTGAGAATGGGGCATCACGGGATGCACAGTGACCAACCAGAGCAGTCATCACAAGATTCACACTCACAGAGATGTACCATTCTTCTGTATAGCCACCCTGACCCCCTAATGGATGTTTCACTTACAGGGCATTGACGGCAAGGATGGCAAGCTTGGATCTCCCGGGGAACCGGTAAGGATTCACGTTGTAAATATCATCATTTCAAGCTGCCACAGTCAGGTTTTCAGAGCCCACACCTGGCTATGGCTTTACATGCATCTAGTTCACACTGAACTGCCTTGAGCAATCTATTAATGTGCAAATCTTAGCACCTTGAAAGGAGACCTGGCCCTTTACTCTGAGGGTCTGTGTACACTTTAAACTGGGGGTGTGATCCTCAGCTCGAGGACGCAGAGCCAAGCTGCCATGCTAAGAATAGCTACAAATACGACAGGTAGCTGCATTGTCACGAGCTGGAGGAGGGGCTAACGTAGCTGCAGGATCATGAGCTGCAGGAGGGGCAGCTGCCCTGAGTACGCACTAGGGTCTCAGCGGGTACGTACTCAGGGTGGCTAGCCGCTCATGCTGCTGCAGGTACGCTCTGTGTGTAGTGCATTCACTCAATCAGACCTAACGTGGGCAGGTCTCCTGGAGCTGGGACTCACAGCTGCAGCTCAAAGTGTAGCCATCTCCGTAGTGCTCCTGTAAATTCTAGAGACCCAGGTCCGCTGTGTAATACTAAACCTAGTGAGCCAGTTTTTACGGATGATGGGGCAGGGAAGGGAGCAGGAAATGCACTTGTTGGGTTGCAGAGTGACCATTCTCCTCCCTTCTCGGAGAGGAAGTTTTGTGTTTGATTTCCCCCCATTGTTCTTAACTTGTACGCATGGGGAGGAAAAGGACTGACCTGGAGTTTTCCAGCCAAAGGGCTATATTAATAAAGTGGACAGGAAATAGCATTCCCCTAGCATATGCATATTACTCTGAGAATGCGCTTCCAGGATCTGTTGCCCCCATCTCTCTTCCCGTGATTTGCCAAAATATGGCAAGCTCTTTCCTTACCATGACAGCGGACAAATACTCAGTATTAAGGTATTGTGTAGACTGAGCCACCTTTCAGAGTCAGATGCCCGCAGTTGTGCATAAACAATTGCACGTGCCCAGTTTCTCTATGAAAATGCCCCTTTTATATGTACGCACCAGATAAGCATGCGACTGCGTGCATCTAATTTTGAAAATCTGGTCCAGACAGGTACACCTGGCCACAGGCGTGGGCACATCTTCAACTTCCAAAGGCCACGTCTCTAGAAGCAAGGGTGGATTTACAGCTGGGTGGAGGGTGCCTGAGTGTGTGCACTCAGATGCAGGTTTTGTGGGAGCATCCCCATTGCATTCACATTTGAAGACTCGTCCCTAGAGCCCTCGTTACAACTAATGGGGAAGAGCAGAATTCCTTTTCAGATGGTGATGAGGCATATGCTGGCAATGACAGAACAAGATCATAATCTGAATGTGCTTGTTTCCATTAGGGCAAACCAGGAGAACCTGGGCTCCCAGGCCAAGAGGGGGCCAGAGGGTTACCGGTAGGTACTACGTCAGATGGTTTAATCCAGAAACTGTCTTATCCTTTACGCTGGAAAATCTTTGGGTGGGGATGGCCTTTGCCTGTGCGTGTGCGCACACAGCACCTAACACAAAAGAGTTGGCCTGGCTGAGACATCTAGGCATTTCCACAGCATAAACAATAAAAAAAAATCCAAGAACTCAAACTGGGCGTTTCTGGATCTTTTGCCCCCAGAATTCTCTGGAGCAGATTGTGCAGGTCCTTTGCCTGGAGATCAGGACGTAAGAAGCCTTCCACCCTCTGGGTGCCCCACATGCCAGGGCTGCTCACTGCTGTAGGCTGTGCGCTCTAGCCATGCATCCTGGGGATGGGGTGAGGGGAGGCCATGGCCCCACCCTTTCCCCTACACACTGTGGGCCAGGCACACCCAGAAGAGCCGCTGCACCACCATAGGCTCCCCTGCACCCTGTGCTGCTAAGAAGAGGGATGCTGCCTCCCTGGGATACAATTCCATGCTGAGCAGGGCCTGTTAATCTAAGGCAAAACCAGAGAGGTTTTAAGGGCAGCCACTGTGCATGCACCATTCAGCCAAGGCCTTCCCAAAGGTCCATGCATCTGGCTGTTGTTAATGTCACTCTCTTCTGCAGGGCTTCAAGGGGCACAGAGGAGATGCAGGTCCCCCAGGCCCCAGGGTAAGTAACATGCACCCCTCTGGGTGTGCTGTAGAAGGAGACGGGTAAGTCAGCCTTAAAGGGGCTCCCTAAACCTGAAAGAGAAGATTTTTACAGGCCTTTTTAACGTTGTGTTCGCGAGTTGCTGTGATCTTGTGGGGCCGGCCATTCTGGCTGCCTTGCAGTTGGGGGCAGAGCGCAGGGTGGACCCAGCTGTACGCTGCCTGACGCAGCTGGGGAGAGTCAGTGGCATTACTGGCAGCCTCCTTTTCTGGACTCCCAGCTAACATTAGTGCTGGTGTATTGAGCAGTCATTGATGGGTTAGTGCAGCACATCTCATGCCCCTTCCATGATGTCCCTTTGCATGTCAGTTTCACAGCACACCTCCCTGTGTACTGCCATGAAAGCCACAGCACGTAGCTCACAACTGCAGGCCAGGGGACCAGGAAACTTACTGTGCAGGCTGTACCAATATCAAATCGCACACCACCAAGCATTAGACATGCAGGATGAATTCAAAGATGAGGAGAATGGGCATGAATAATAGAGCTTTTTGGCTCACTCACCTCCTGATCAGAAAGTCCTGGCCCCATTCTCAGCTCCGACGTTGCAGGGATCCCCACAATAAGAGGTGTCATCTTGCAGATGAGATGGAAAACTGAGCTTTCTTCTGCCTAACTCTGGCTCTTCAGGAAAATAAATTATGGTCCAGTGGCACATTGCAGGAGGACTGGCAGAGAGCCCCAGTGACCTAGATCCTCCTCCCCTCCTCCCTAAAACAGTTTTTCCATGAAGAGTGCAAAACATGCCTTCAGTCACTGCACTCTCAATAGCTAAGGTATTAAGAACATAAGAATGGCCATACTGGGTCAGACCAAAGGTCCATCCAGCCCAGTATCCTGTCTACCGACAGTGGCCAATACCAGGTGCCCCAGAGGGAGTGAACCTAACAGGTAATGATCAAGTGATCTCTCTCCTGCCATCCATCTCCATCCTCTGACAAAAAGAGGCTAGGGACACCATTCCTTACCCATCGTGGCTAATAGCCATTAATGGACTTAACCTCCATGAATTTATCCAGTTCTCTTTTAAACCCTGTTATAGTCCTAGCCCACACAACCTCCTCAGGCAAGGAGTTCCACAGGTTGACTGTGCACTGTGTGAAGAACTTCCTTTTATTTGTTTTAAACCTGCTGCCCATTAATTTCATTTGGTGGCCCCTAGTTCTTATATTATTGGAACAAGTAAATAACTTTTCCTTATTCACTTTCTCCACACCACTCATGATTTTATATACCTCCATCATATCCCCCCTTAGTCTCCTCGTTTCCAAGCTGAAAAGTCCTAGCCTCTTTAATCTCTCCTCATATGGGACCCGTTCCAAACCCCTAATCATTTTAGTTGCCCTTTTCTGAACTTTTTCTAATGCCAGTATATCTTTTTACTGGAAAGGGCTGCAATACCTTGCATATGAAAGGTGCTCCTGGCACTTTTTTTTAAGCAGCACATCAAGTTTTAACCACATTGCTCCCATTGGCATTAAAGCAAGATGCATGACGTGTGTCACCCCATAGAGACTGCAAGCATCAATCCAGCACTGCAGAATCCCTACACTGTCCAGAGGCGTGTTACTAGCCAGCATATCTATAATGTGTCTGATGCACTGAATTCATCACTACTTCCTTTGCTCTGTTCCAGGGAGAGCCGGGCGTGACCGGTCCTGCTGGTCGTGAGGGCCCGCCGGGGAAGGATGTAAGTGTACTCTTGGAGCAGCAAGCAAACCTCTGTCCTTTGATAAGTTGACTTGTTTCACAGTAAACGAAGAAACTGTTCTAAAGAGTGAATGCTTGGGGTGACGCACAGGGAACTGTTTAGGCAAAGCTTGTTAGGAGAGGAACTTTAGGGCCTTTGTCCCTGCTCAACCTGCTGACACTTAAATGTTAGCTGTGTCTTTGGAATATTAGTAGGAACGGCATTGTTTCAATCCTGTGTGTCATTTTCTTCCCAGTTGAGGAGCAGTAAGAGTTAAGCCAGAGCTGTGTTTTATTTTCAGATGATGATCTCATTGTCTTTGCTTCGGTGTTTTCCACTCAGTGCAACGATTTCTCTTTTCTTCCAGGGTGATACAGGCCCCACAGGACCTCAAGGTCCTCGAGGACTCAGAGGGCAGCCAGTGAGTTTCCTCTCCAGACAAGCAGCCTTTGAAGGATGGACTCTAGGTGGTAGGGGTGTCACAGAATCCACAGCTCTGGTTTGGAACCAGAATCCCACAGAAGACTCAGGTGGCATTTGGCCAGAATGTTTTACTTACTTTAGGAAAGGAAGAGCTGAGTGATGTTCCAAGGGCAGGTGGTGACCAGTAGTGTCTAGGAGCAGGTGACTCTGTAGGAGCAGGCAACGCTGTAGAAGCAGAATGTTATAGTAGTTTCTGCTACGAACTGGGTATCAGGAGCTCCTGACTTCTAGACTTGGCTCTAACACTTGACTTCCTATGTAACCCTAGGCGACAGTCCTCAAAAATGTTGTTAATTTTGGGTGCCACCTTCTTTTGAGTGCCCAACTTGAGCCTGATTGTGATACTTGTGAACAAGCTGTTTGTTTCCCATGGAAACGAATACATTTTTGAGAGAAGATGCCCTGTCTTTATCGAAAACACGTAGAAAGTCAATTTTTAATAGGTTTTCAGTGCAGAAAAGTCATGGGGATGAAATTTCATGAAGTGTCATTTGGGATGGTTGATACATCGCTCCTATTGCTTTATTGTATTTTAAAAATCAACTCTCTCCAAACATGAATACAAAGTAGACTGTCCAGACCTGAGCACAAACCTAAAGGATTCAGCCGATTCTTTCCTCCATGGGAAAGCAGGCTGCTGACACAGAGATTCTGAGACCTGGGCTATCATCAGAACAAAATGCTGACTTAGGCAGCAGTGCCAGTAATTGGAACACCGGGGCTTTAGGAGCAAGGAGACGAGGGGTTTAGGTGAGACTACAGTAACATATGCAGAGCCCTTGTTTCTGCTTTGTAATTTATCCTGTCATGCCATGCATGCCCTACAGTGCTGGCGTCACTCACTAATGCGTCTTGGCCTGGGCATTTGCAATAAGTAAAAAGGCTCCAGGAGAGAAATCATAAAAAATAAAATTATCATAAGTCCTAGATGAGCCAAATACCTTTTGAGAGGCTACGGATGAGTCTGTGAGAGGTGGGAGGGAAAAGCAATACCCCCTCTTGTTCCTTTTGTGCTTCCTATCCTCTGCAGTACAAACAGTCCAAAGTACTGCATGAGAAACACAGTCTGAGTATTACAAGTAACAGGGGACTTTGCATGGGCTATTTCAATTAAACATGAAGTATCCATGCATAATGCGGTAGGAGGGAATGGGGACTAGTCTTTATCAGCTCTTTTGACTTGCAAACTGCCTGATTCTCCATACGTGCAAATGCTGGTGCCCTCCATTCTCCCTGTGGTGGGACCTTCCCATCTCTAGCGGATGGTGTCAGAGACAGAGATGTGGGCAGTCGTTCCAATTGGTTGGAGCCAGAGTCCGCTCTAGTGGTTGGAGCTGGAGTCAGAAGTCAGGAATCGGTGCCGAGGGCCAGGACTGGGTTACCTGGAGTGAGGCAAGGCTGGAGCCAAGGAAGGAGCAGGGCTGGGAAGAAGCAGGAGCTATTGCAGCCGTGGACCAATGCTCTGAGCAGCTGTGTGCATGGAGCAGCCGCTGAACCGCTGTTGCCGCTGGGCTTATGAGCCGGTCTGCTGATTCTTCCCACCAATCGGGCGATGTAGCCAATCAGGCAGCCTGCTACAGGCCAGCTACGCTCATTCGGTGGCCCAGAACTTGGCTCTGCTGCAGGCCCTGATTCCTGACAGATGGTGCAGATGAGCTTCGAAGATCAGCTCTATACTGGGTGTTGAGGACTTGGATCGGTGCCTAGGTATTGCAGTCCTAGCATAGTATCAAAACCCCAAATGGATGGTTGTAAGTAACATCTGGCACTCTGAAGACCTCTGGCTCATGGGATCTCCCCTTCATTTCCTGCTTGATGAATTATTCAGAAAGGATTCCCATTTCTTGGCAGCTACCAGTGTAAATATTCCCTAGTGAGAACTAAAGCAATGCAGTTGTTCCCTTGTCGGGAGCTCCATCTTCCTTGGGAGTTGGCATGAGATCTCGAGCACCTGGATTTTAGATAGGGGCCCAGATCTCCAGGTCTGGATGAGCTCTGAGCTGCCTTTCCATTCTCCTGATTCTGGAGTCACTCAGGAACTGAAACAGCCCTGGGCTTAACCTAGAGCAGCTTAAGAGCTGCTCTAAATTACATTGGCTATATTGGCTTCCCAAGGATCACTTTTCTGGCTGAGGATCACTGGGGTGCATCAAGCTCTGGATCTGCCCCCTCCTATGCCTGAATGAGGGATGAGGTGCGGTAAAGCCCAGCCCAGCAATCCAGGTTTACAATACCCAGGGATTCCCCCTGCATGAGGGGACTGCCCTGCGGTCCATTTCAGGGCAGCTGTCTGTTCCTCAGTGCCACGAGAAGTGGGGCTGGAGGCCAGGATGTTACCCACTCTTTCAGATACTTCCCAGAGAGGCGGAGGGGCCCTTCTTTTCTCCAGCGGGATGGCGTTTCTGTCCGGGGGGATATGAGACCAGGGTTCCGATTAGGGCTGGTTGGGAATTTTTTGATGAAACATGTTTTCACTGAAAGATGCTGATTAGTCGATGAAATGCAGATTTTGTTTGTCGGAATACCTGACTCTGAAAAGGTTTAGGAAGAAAACATTTTTTGGTTGTTGAAACATCCTGTTTTGAGATTGTGGAACCAGAGAGTTTGGGGTTTTTTTTAATTGAAACTTTTCATTTCAAAATGTTACTAAATTTACACTAAAAAAGGAAAACCGCTTAAAATTGAAACAAAATGTTTCGATTGACCCTAACTAATTTTGGGGGGTGGATTTTTGGTTTGCAACCATTTTTGGCACTTGAATCTTTTTGTCAGAGCAGAGGCCAAACCCTTATCTCTGAAGTTACATTCTGCTCCTCCTGGAAGTTCTCCTTGATGGATGTGAAATACTGGGAGAAGCTTTTCTTACTCTCCATCCTGAACTAACTCGTGTGCCATTTTGCTGCACACTGTTGAACGGAGGTGGCTGCTTTTCAGCGGTGGCCAAAGTGATCTCTGAGTGTAGAATGTCGGAGCTGCGTCTTTACACGTTGATCCCAGAGGAGAATTGTGCTTGTGGTTTGTAAAGTCTGAGCACCAGGATGAGAGGTATCATATAAGCATTCCTCATCCATACTATTCAAGGTGCCAGCATAAGATTGACAGGCACTCACATGCCTCTCTGTGGTTACTACCTGTTATCACCAATGAATGATTTGTACTCTCTTTTTAACCATTTATTAGGCTTTAGCCAGTAGACATGTACTATTGCCTATTACAAGAATTCTGTCCTAATCAGGGTAAGGGTTACATCTAGCCACCTGACCAGAGTTCTCTAATATGTCCATCACCATAGTATCAGGGCACCACATTAGAGGCTGGGTGCCAGTGTCCTGGAGGCAGTGGAGAAGACCTTTCCAGGAAAGAGCCTGCACTGTCCAGGAAAAATGTGTAGCCACAAAGAAGCTCTGAGCTGTATCCTTTTTGATTCCAGATCTGTTCTTTTCCCCTCAATCCAGGGCAAGAATGGCTCACCAGGCGCCCCAGGGGAAGCTGGCCTTGCAGGTAACCCAGTAAGTACCTCAGCCGTGTACACCCACAGCAAGCCAGGGATGTTGAGACTGTTACGGGGACAATTTATAACCCAGCTCGGAGAGAAGAGTTACATGTTGCATCCTTAAAAATGTATTAAATCCGGCCCAGTAGATGGCCTCTCAGAGGGGTGATGTGCAGTCCCCCACAGAGTGCGACACGGAGGCTGAGAGGCTTGGAGGAGCTGGCAGCAGCCTCTGCAGAGAGGGAAGAGTAGCATTAGAGCAACTCACCCAAGGCCTTCTGGAAAACAGCAGGCAACAGTTTAAAGCAAGGTCACAGAAGGGGACAGACCTCACAGGTGCCAGTTTGTATGTGAGACCAGCCTGCGAGCATTGAGGTGCAAGAAGGCCTCTGAGGAGGCTTTTGTTCTGTTCCCCAAAGTTGCTCTTGGGTTCAGCAGTTAGTTATAGTAATGCATTGCACTCAGTCCCTGTAATGAAATGCAGACCAGTTCCCTTCATGGTCACTGGGGCTCCTCTATCCTAACGTTATGACTCATTGGGATTTCAGGTTCAGATAAAGGCCGAGAGTGTAACCAGTAGGAGTCAGGAGGTCCCCCTCAGTTCAATGATGCTTCCTTTGTCTTTCTAACGTTGTAGCTTCCATGAGTAAAGATGAGGGGAGAGAGATAATTTGTGGTGTATGTGTTCTCTATTCTTATCCCATTCTCCCCTCTTTGAGAATTATCTCCAGCTGGGGTTAAGGCAACAGCCAGTCTGTTTCCATGGGACCTTCAGCTGTTTCCATTGCCAATATGTAAAGTTCTCACCCATAGTCATCTTCCTGACAAAGAGTAACTGTTTAACTAGGTGATAGTCCCCTTGATTTTGTCGATACTTGGCTGGGGCGTCAGTATGGCTTTTGTCTCTGAAGAACTGGTTTGGGCCTGTCTTTATAAACTTAGTAATGCCATACAGCAGAATCTTATAACTTTACGTACATTGTTACCATACATATTGTACCATGACGATAATGTTCAGCAGATTATGAGTTTTCAAATGATACCTCACAAGACATACTTTGCACAAAGTTTATCATGGTCTTGTAAAAAGGGTGAACATAGTACAGACTGTCACAAGGTCGATCAGTGGCTATTGGCGAAGATGGTCGGGGATGCAACCCCATGTTCTGGGTATCCCTAAACCTCCAAATGCCAGTAGTTGGGACTGAATGATTCAATAACTGCCCTGTTCTGTTCATTCTCTCTGAAGTATGTGACACCGGCCACTGTTGGCAGACAGGATATTGGGCTAGATGGACCATTGGTCTGACCTAGTATGGCCATTCTTATGTTCTTAACAATGACACAGTATTGGTCGGCATGATTGGCTTTGGTCTCATTGATATTATCCCACTTCACTAACATCAGTAAAATGATCCTTACTCCCCAACACAACAGGCTGCCCCCACAGCAAGCTTAGAGCAGGAGGTGTCTCCTTCTGTGGGCCCAGGCATAGCTTATTTCCAGTTCTCCAGGAACTCAGACTAATGTCCTTAGCAGTGCACTGTGCGGTGACAAACCTAGTGTTTCAGGACTTGGTTTTAAGAAGAAACGGGAGGGGAAGATGAGGATTCAAGTCTCTCGATACACGAAGGCTTTTCAGAAGAGGTGATGGGGGAAGGAGCTGCTGGTGTTTATGTTTCATTTTGTTTCCTAAGGGTCCAAAAGGAAACAAAGGAGAAAATGGCAGCCCTGGACTTCCTGGCTTCATTGGGCCCCGAGGCCCTCCAGTAAGTATCTGTTTGGTGATGCAAAGCAGTCGTTAGTCACCCACTGCCTGGTTTTGACTCTTGAACCTGGAGGAAGGAAGGACAAAATGTCACGTTGTCAAAAACACAGGCGAGAGCCTTGTGTATCTAGATAACTCCCAAATAGCCCCCTCTCTATTCCAAGGGGCCCAGGGTATTCTTTCCAAAGAGAACTATAGTCTTTTCCATAGCTTACCGAAGGAGGATAATCTCATTTGTAGCAAGGACACCTCTCATAAGGCCCTGTATATGGATGTGGCATTCACAAAGGGGCGGTTCAAATACTTTGCACAGCGTGAGTTTGGGGTAGTCGCATTACTCACTAGAGCATTCTGCATGGGCCACGGGTATTACGGAAGAGCTACATCAGGAATGTGTTAGAGCGATTAACAATATTCAGACTAATTCTTGTATTCCTTTACCTAAGGCTAAAGTCCCTAGTTACCTTGAGACCAACGGTCTAAGGCTCAGCGATAGAGGTACATGGCAACTCATCCTTAAAATATCTCCCAACGTTATCTAACACTTTTTCTAGCCATAAAAATATCACAACCTTAAAATCCAGTGTGTTGGGCCCTTCCAGGCCTAGAAGCAAATGTCGGATCCCATTGAGAAGCTGGCAATCTCCCCTTCCCAGTTAGTTAATGTTTTTGTTTCCAACCCTGCAGTGAGACAAGGTAACAGACTTTAATGACACTACTGCAGAATTGAATCTTCCCTGGCCTGAGTCTTAAGTTGGAGTCATTTTTTTAATGGAAAGTAAGAGAAGGAAGAAACATTTTCCCTTGCAAGTTTGTTTAAAAAAATAATAAAGTGGCTGCTTAAAGCTGCTATGGAGTTTTGGAATGTTGGAATAAGTCCCAGTTTTGGTTTGGTTGGCAGGTGATGTAACCCTCAGCGTGATTGGTTGCACTGATATGTAATAAATATACCCCATGCCTGTGCAACTGATTACATGCGCTTCCAGTTCATCAGAGGTATATCAATTACACACACACACAAACACACTATAAATATAATAAGGGGGGCAGGGGTGTTTCAAGGGTTGTAGGTCTACACATAATTTGACCTATGGATGTTACAGACAAGTCCTTTTCTAGTTCCATTAGTTGTGAGAGATGTGCTCAGAATTTAGCAATGGCCAAAATGCTGGTGTTGCTTTTCAATCCTGTGCTTCAATGCTGGAGTAGTAGACCCCACAGAGAATGCTAAAATAGAGACATGATAATGCTCTTTTTATTCTAATATGGTATATGCAGAAGAGAAGAGTGGTAAATGGAGAGTGCTTTATTGAAACCCAACCGAGCTAACTGAGAATTCAGTAAACTAGCTCAAGAAAACATATGAGAGGCTGTTGAGACATTCAGAATCAAAGTGAATTGTATGGCACCAAAAGCCAGAAACCCCTGTTAACAATACATCCATCTCAACATCTTTGCTCGGCCTGTAGGAATGACTGACAGTTTCTCTACATTTAGGAACGTGCACGCAGTGTGCAGTATATTTGGAGATACACTTTGACCATAGGAACTCTCTTTAGTTAGTGTTGACTCATCTCAGTCCTGCCTCACCAATCTGGAATATGACACTTGGCGACAGAGTATCAGAGATCCAAGGATAAACGATCTACAGCATTTTCTGCTTGACTCAACATTATCCAGTCCAAATAGTGCAAGTGAAACCACCTCACTTCTGAGATAACAATCAGGACTGGTAGTTTGTGTCTGACTTCAGACCGCCCGCGTTGTTGTGATATTGTCAGTGTTGTGAGTTATGTACTTTCTTTATGTCTCTTAGGGAGATTCGGGAGAGAAGGGGCCCCCAGGAAAAGAGGTGAGTTCAGTTCCCACCTGGTTGAGAGCACGGATGGTGTCTAGGTTCAGTGGTAGTCTCAGGCATGCTTATTGGGGTTGCGTTATTTTGTTCTTGAGTTACTGGTTTGAAAACATTAAATAAATCTAGAGCACCCAGGGAATTGTGGCGTATACAGGACTTCATTTTCCGGAGGACCTGGGCGCCATCACAAGGGGAAGCATCCTGTCATTAACTCCGTACATGAATAGCTCTTGCATACTCATGTCTATTATTTCATTCCAGGGCGCAGCCGGGAAACCAGGCAACCATGGACCCAAAGGAGACAGGGTGTGTTGAGAAGTGTTATTAGCATTACTTTACTGCGCTAAAATAATAAAAACCAATTAGATGCTTGTCGTCCAAGTGCAGCCTATTGGCTAAGTGCAGCCCACAGAGGTCTACACTGCTGCCTCGGGCCACTACATCGTTAATCCTTCTACATCAGTAACACTTGGTAATGTACCCGAGGCTTTACTCAGTATACTTGCCCATTTCTGTGGTCAGAAGTGCTCCACTGTGCTCAGTAACCAGGCAGTGTTTCATTAGGCTGGGGGAGAAAGGACGTGTTCTTCTCTGTATTGATATGCTGGTTTTGTCTCATAGGGAGATCCTGGCGTCAAAGGTGACAAAGGCCCACAGGGAGAGAAAGGTCTGCCTGGGGATCCTGGCATACCTGGCCATAAAGGCCACACTGGATTGATGGGTCCCCAAGGATCACCAGGAGACAGTGGGCCAGCTGGACCTCCAGGGCCCCCAGGACAGCCAGGCTTCCCCGGGCCCAGGGTAAGAGTGGCAGCTGTGAGCTTCCAAAGAGTCTTATAGAAACACTCCCTTAATGACATGAGCACAGCCCGACGTTATTGCCTAGCTGCCTGTGAGGTGCCTCAGTTTATCCTGCAATGCTATCAACACGTGCTTCCTATGTTATGTACGCATGCAATGCATGTACGGCATCATTACCTGCTACTGCTCTGAATCCCCTGCACTCAAAGAAGAGATGCTGCATCTCCGGGGGGAGGGGGGGAGTCTCCCGCTAAACAATATTTGAATAAAATGGCTGTCATACCCGTAGCGTTTTTCAACTGAGGCATGAAACTGAGATCTTGGACAACTGAGGTCATTAAAATTCCCATGCTAATTTTTGCAAAAATAGAGAGAGTTAATTCAGGGGGTGTTGGCAAATTTCCGTTTGGGAAAGAAAAATGTTGGTGGCCTAAAGCTCCTGATGTGAGATGGTTATGATCTCCTTCACTTCCTATACTAAACTGCTACATAGCCTCGCTGTGTGGTGTTTAACAGGTGCCCTGTTCCACCCTAGAGGTGGATGCATTATATTGGCAAGTTGAGTGATTCATTACTGGTAAAAGCTCTTTAGGATCCTTCAGTTTGAAATTTGGTGTATAAATATAAGATATTGTCAGACAGGAAAATGCATGTGGAACTCTGGTCCACCAGCTTTTATGTAAACAATGAGTGCAGTCGGATTAAAAGAGTAGATATTTACACTAAGTAAGATAAAAATAAATGAAGAATATCAAACCTAATGCTTCAGGGGATCCCAGAGCTCGGGCTTCAGCCCAAGCCTGAACATCTACACTGCAATCTTACAACCCCATAGCCTGAGCCCTGTGAACCCGAGTCACTTGACGTGGACCAGCCATGGATGTTTAACTGCACTGTAGACATATCCCTACGTGTCTAGAGTCAGGAAGAAACTCCCTACATAAGCATGTTACAGCCTAATTGTCCACACAGGGCTTTACACCTTCCTCTGGTGGTGGCCAGTCTCAGAGCGAGGTATTGTGATATGCGGGCCTACTAATTTACCCTAACTGTGAGCTCAGCTGTAAGGAGTGGAAGTTCATGAGATGTCAGAATAACCTATCACAACAAATGTATGAAAGTCCACTCCAAAAGGCCTACTGGTCTAACTCAAGGACTGTGTTAAGATCATGCCTGGTAAACAAGAACAGAGTGAGATCGAAAATCAGTGAACTAAAATTGGTATGTGGGATATTAGACCTAATTAATGGACAAAATAATGAGGGGGTGTGGGCTATTCTGCCCATCGCTCCCTTTTCGGGTTCTTAAAGAAAGGCTTTTGGAGAAAAAATAGCTATTGGAGTGAACTTCATCATTGTGGCTGCCAACCTGCTCCCCCCACTATCCTCTGGAATCCCAGACCGGACCACCTTCATCCAAATCCCGAAAGATGTCCTGACCAGACCAAGCCAGAGAGAGGGACCTAGGGGACAGCTTCGGCTAAATCCCAAATCCAACCTGGGGTGTGAGACTTCATCTCACGCCCTAATGTGTCTTTTGCCTTCCCTAACTTATTTCTTCTCTTTTCTATCTCTCGCCGCCTTTTTCTTCTGTCTAATCAGAGTCTGGCCTACCTGGCCAAGACTTTATTGTTTGCAACGCTGCTGGAAGCCCCATCACCAGAAAGAGGCAGCTAAAACAATGTCCTAAACAGCCCGATGCAGGTACAACTTTGCCAGGTCTTGGCATGGCTGAGAAGACCGTGTGCTGTGCCTGTGTTTTTTTCCAGAAGTGAGATTGCAAGTGAAAGTCAACATCCTCTAAAGGGAACAAGGGATGTTGTTAAAATGAAAGCCCGACTTAATCCTTTACATTTCAAATGCTGTAACTGTTTTTCCTTCTTCTTCTGTAGCTTTAATAAAAGGTGAAAAGGATTTTAAATGGTGTATTTATCATGGTAATAAGCAGGCTTGAGGTGTCTGTATGTCAAGCCACAAACCTTGTTTAACGCTGTTTAATATTGAACAGTGTCTGGGTTATGTTAACATCTTTGGCCCATATAGTCCATCTAAATACAACGGAGAATACTGGACTACAGAGACCCTTGATATATTCCTAGATATATTATTGGAACCAGCTCATCAAATTCATGAGATCATATTATATTTGAATAATTTGTTCTGTGTAACAAAAAGAACACTCTACTAATCTAAAGTGCCTGTGGGCTCAGTATTTAGAAGGGTGAAGACAAATATTTGATAGTAGTAAAGCAGACTAAATGTTTTGAGAAATTAATTCTGCCTTGAGGCGTTTACCTCATAAGTATTGAATGTGAAATTGTCCCTCACGTAAAGAACAGGTAAATTTTAGACAAAGCACATCTTTGCCCAGCCACATGGAAGACACATGATGAAACATAGTAATGAGTTATGAATAATTAAAGCAATTAAAAGTAATGACCTTTAAAAAAAAAGCCCTAACAAAACAATCCACAATTCTTTTTCGGGGCTTAGGAAGTGATCTCTAAATTTTGAAAAATATTTTCTGAATCCATCAGCAAGAGGCATTCTAAGTGAATGGTGATTAAAATGAGGTCATTTCTATTGATACTGATGGACAAAGTCTTTACATTATGCTAAACCCGTGGCTGGAGATAGGAAGCAAAGGGACTAAATAGTCCATATTTGGGTAAGAATTTTTTAATTAAAAAATTGTAATAACATGAAATATTTCTATATTTTTAAAAATGTTTCATGGGTGCTACAATCAATAATGAAAAATAAGAACTTCAGTCTCAGAAGGGTCATAAAGCTTTTTATAAAACTGATGTACAGCACAGATTATACAATGTTGTACCCTGAAATGCATCCACTACTGATGCAATGCAACAGCTGTTGAACAGCACACTTCACCAGCACAAAAGAGCAGGGGACAGGAAGTGAAAAAGACTGCTACTGCAGTGGGGACTTTAGGCAGGTAGTACATAATTACTCTGTACAATTTAGAAATCGCTTTCAAATTTCATCTGGCCAGAAATCAAAAAGAAATTGAAGCCAGGAAGAAACTGTGACTTGCTTTCTGGGTGGAGTTTCATGTGAACATTCTAGTTAGTTCCATTCCACATGAGGTCAGGATGCTACACTATCATTCTGTGTTAATGTTTATAACACACAAGTCTAGATACTGGGTTTGATTGCCCCGTTGGGGGCAGGAGGGTCGCACACAGCACACACCTTTGCGGGAGCTCCTTCTCTAGGAAGATTCACATTTAGGAAGGTGGCAGTATTTTCACTATGGTCTTCCTATGGGTCCCGCTAGGGGAAGGCAGTTTTAATCTCCGCCTGATGCTCCTGGTGGTGGGTGTTGACCTGGAGATGCATTGAACCAATGAATCCAGTGCTGGGCTTCCCAGCAGGGTGGGAAGTGTAGGCAGGTTGTGCCCCTGTGAGCTTCCCTTCCTGCAGGCAGATTCTTCAGCACTGGCGACTCAAGCCTACGGTAGCTTCTCCAATAACCCCCAGGTGAAGAGTTTTTTGTTTGCAGTTCTTGCTGTGATTATCACCATGCTCTCACTCTTCTCCCTAGGGGGACTCTCCATCGCTGGAGACTCTGAGACGGCTCATCCAAGAGGAGTTAGGAAAGCAGCTAGATGGTAAGTGTCGGTACCGGGCAAGCCACCGAAACATCTGAGGTTCCAGAAGATGCTTTGTACAGCCCCCGAGCATGTGATTTGTGTCCCCACCTTTCCCAGCTGTTAAAGGGCAACTTTGAGATGGGAGCAACTTGGGGAAAGGAGACGTGTGAAGTGAAATGGTCTTGGCCAACATTCGTCTAGTTGCTGTTATTGAAGGTGCTTGTGTTAGTACAAGGGCTTTCTCCCTCCCAGCCCACGTTCTCCTTCTGTCCCATTGGGCACAAAGCCTGTGCTTATCGCATCACAGCCCGTTGCCAGGGAAATGGCTGATATCACAAACCCAGCATTGTGATTTCACTGTGGGATCACGTGGGGAGAGAAGGTCGGTCGGGGGGGAGCAGCAACATTATTTTGGGGCAAATTCCTGGAAGAAAGCACAGAGGCTGAGTGAAAAGGCGGTGGGCTCAGACTAACGTGCTGGTGGCATCCAGAACACAACTGGATGGGAGAAGGAACAGCAGATGCAGTCTGCTGCTTCATGCAGTGTCTATGAACTGAGGGCAGAACTACAGCCCATGCTTTGGCCACTCCCCCAACCTGCCCACAAACCTCCACCATGCTCCAGCACCGAGGGTCACTGCAAAGCTTGGCTCCATGCCACACAGTGGGGTGAAGAGTCCCATTGCATGGACTCTCTCCTGTCTGCTCTCCCCACAAATCCTGGAGCAGCGGGAACAGGGCATTTTTTTCTGCATTTTGCTCCGTTCAGTGCTGGTGGGCAGGATTTGCCTCCATGTTAGTTAATGGTCACCGTGAAAGGAAAAGATTCAATTAATCTTTTACATGCTTTAACACTTCTAGTGGTTTAAAAGGCTTCCCTGGCGTGAAAGTCCCTTCTGATCGGGGTCAGCTAATGGAAGCCTGAGCTCCAACTTGCCCTTCCCTCCTGTGAGAGCTTTTTGTCATGTGTTTAGTATGCCTGGGGGGGCTGCTGAGATCTGGAAACTGCCATCCCGGTGTGTGCTGGGAAAACAGGAGAAAGTGCTGGCACAGGGAAATGGCGGAGTCCCACTTTCTGTCTACACAGCCCTTGAGTCAGGGCCAAGTTGCCCATCTCAGGCCTGGCTGCCCCAGAAAGAAAAGAAATCCCCTCTCCCTAGAGTGAACCATGTCAGCTGCCTTATAGATTCATAGATTCTAGGACTGGAAGGGACCTCGAGAGGTCATCGTTATCTCATGCTCCGTGATAGGATACTAGTAACAAGCTCTTCCTTTCAGTGGGGAAATGATCACAGCGCTAATAATCCCGGCCGGGTAACAATGCAGCTGAGGGAAAGGAAATAACCAGTCCTAGAAGCCAATAGGACAAGGAGCCAGGCGATGGGGGAGAGGAAGGAAAAGTCTGAGAGAGAGATTCAGAAAAAGTTCTTAACTGCAGGAGCAACAGGGTAGTAGGTTAAACTGGTGTAGGTTGTGGGGGAGGCACCATCATGGCTGGTGCTGAAGAAGTGTGTGGGGAAGGCAGGGTAAGTCGTCTGTTAAGTGCTAAGAGTTGGGCTGGGAAAACACGATCTTTCATTGGCCCTATTGCCTGCAATCCCTTGTCTCGCAGAGCAGTGACTTTCTAACCTAACAAAACCACCTCTGTCTATCCTCAGCAAAACTAGCCTATCTCATGGCTCAGATGCAGCCAGCGCATGTTAAAGCACCCCAAGGCAGGCCAGGGCCTCCGGGGTCTCCCGGTAAGGAAGGGCTCCCAGGAAGACCTGGCCCTCCAGGAGAGCCCGGCCGACCTGGACAGACAGGGTCTGAAGGGCCATCAGGACCAGTGGGTCCAAAAGGTGAGTGAATCATAGAGCATGTTGGGGGAACCTGGATGCTGTACCTGTTCCAAACCTTGTGTGCCCTGAGCCCTCGGAGGTTCCTACACGTTCAGTATGTTCACTGTAGTAGGGGTAAATGGAGCAGCAAGAACTGCTTTGTTCTGCTGATTTATAAACAGACGTTTTCATTTTTCAGTATCCGTAGTGGACTCTTTGTATCAACTTTTTTTGCTTCGTTTCACAAACTGTGATTCTCAGAAATGTTCGGCGTAAAGTACGTCTTGAGAATTTGGACAGAGCTCTCCCTCATTTCAGTATCCCATCACGGTGTCGTGCTGTTGCTTTGGGATGACTCTGCATTGCTTAGAACAATGAAATGACAGCAGGTCAAGGTGCCTCCTGGAATTTTTACTGCACAGTAGCAGGGTCCACACGGCTACTGGGGCACTGCTTGCTACAGCGCTATGGATTTACATTCCAGCTTGTCATGCGCTAAGTCTCTGCATACGCATGCCCTTAGGTCAGATAAACAATGGCTGGAGCCTGCCAGGGTCGCTCTGGACCCCACTCTGACCCTCATACGGCCAAACACTTAAGAGCAAGCAGATGAGAGGTGAATGTGGCTGACCTTTGCACAGGGCCTTCGAAGAATGCAGGAGAGGCTCCTGGAGCTCTCCGCCCACTCAAGGGCCAGTCACAGTCTGAGCTGGCTAGGTGCTTATCCCAGCAGATATCATATATCAGCTAGGAACGGGGGGCGAATGTGTTCCCACGGCAGCAGCATTTTGCACAGTGTCTCTAACAATAATATTTATTTATATTACAGTGGGGCCTCATGCCTCCAGTCAGGATTGGTGCCCCCTTGTGGCATCTTTTGGTTGTGCAGCTCACAGTAACCCATTTGGATTTTATCCTCCAGGTGAAAGAGGTGTGAAGGGTGAGAGAGGAGATCCTGGTGTTGGTCAGAGGGGTGAAATTGGTCCTCCAGGAATTCCAGGTGGGTTGTTTGTTAATACTGCCAGAAGCATTGTGCCTCTTGGAATAGGCTAATTGCCAACACTCCCAAACTTAGTGACACCAGGAGTAGTGTTGCGAACATGCCAGCAGCCAGAGTGCCACACCTCCTTTGCAAATACTTGTATTGATCCTTTTCTAGCTGAACCAAACCCACACATCCAAGCAGCCTCAGATACCGGGAAAGCCCCGAGCCAAACATTGTGGTTCAAGCGCACAACAGTGACACGCTGTCATTGTTGATAGATAAACAGCATTTGCTAGTTGTGATACCAGTGATTGATCCAACCTTCTCTTCGCCCTGCAGCTGCAGGGAGAAGGTGGCATGGGCTGTGTTTTATGACTCCATGTGCCACATTTGGCTGCCAGGCTCCACATTGTGCTCCCTGTGTTACAGCAGCTGTGTCCTGAGGTGTGCCTGCTTCTGGTACTGCCAGGCGGGGAAATGTTCAGGGAGGGAAGTGAGCATTGCTACGAGCGACATGTGGGGAAGTACCTCAGACTGGGCATGGCCCAGAGAGATGGGGCGGAGCCAAACACCTCCGCACTTGGCAGAAGTTCATCTCCAGGTCCCAGCCTGGCTGCCGGGCCCCTCTCATGTGGTGTGGCCTTGCTGAGTCATACCCTGGGAATAATGGTCCTTTGTTTTCATTCCAGGCCTCCCAGGGGAACCTGGCTATGGCAAAGATGGGATGCCAGGAGCACCAGGCCCACAAGGGGAAGCTGGAGTGCCAGGCCTCATGGGCCCACAGGGACCTCCAGGAACCAGTGGACAGTGCGATCCCTCTCAGTGTGCTTACTATGCAAGTCTGGCCGCCCGGCCTGGCAATGTCAAAGGGCCCTAGGCAGCCCTGGGGACTCTCTCCGGACTGGTTTCTGAAACTTGAATTCAACACGCCTACCAGGAGCTCTTGGATTGTTCCCTAGTTGCGTTTCTTTATGGGAGGCCTTTGAGATGATCAAAGCCAACGAATGCTGCCGGTCGGTCAGATTATTATTAATTATTATTTTTATTATTTTGTTGTTAATGTGAGAAATGTGTTTGGTTTTGTTCTCTCTAACATCAGGGCATATTAAAAAATTACAAATACATTTTTACATATAATATTGAGACCTAGCATAGCCATTGTTGTTTATACAGAACCCATGTGAGTGCCAAAACCTCTGCTCAGCTGGGAGAGTTCTTTTCCAGACTTCTTTCCCAAGTTCTAATATGACAATATCAGTGCATGCTAGTGACTGCGAGAAACAAGCCTACAGGAGGGGCAAGCGGCTGAAAAACATTGGGGGGAAGATGGCACGGGGAGGCTGACAAAGAGCTAGTCTCCAATGCATTCAGCTCACAATGGACAATCAGTTACAGACAACAAGCGCTGGAGTTCCCAGAACTGCTGTACTAAATGTAATGTTCTCCTTGCTCAGAAAGGACACAAACGTTAATCATAAATAGCCACTTGACAGGCTTTCTGGGCATGAGCAAGGCTCTGAAAAGAAGGTAAGGGAGAGCTGATGACATGAAGAGAGATTCTGTTTCCAGTATAATTGCTCTCCCCGTGCCCTGTGCATGTTCTTTAGTTCCACTCCAAAAGGCAAAGATTTTATTCCTGGTAATTGGGGCCTGTGCTCATACTGTCAAGAAGATGCCTCTGCAAACAGCCAGCACGTTTGTGCTTCTTGACTTCTTGAGCTAGTAGAGTTCTATTCCTGCTCTGCAGTGAGGGCATGGACAACGTCCATTAAAGTTAACACAGTGATCCTCCAGGTATTGGCTGGTATTATGGTTTGTAGAAGGTTGGACTAGGTGATTATCTTGATCCCTTCTGGCCAGAAAATGTACTATGATCTTCAGGCCACCATATCTGATGATTCACAGGGACACAGGCAAAGCAGGGTAGCCTCTTGGAAGGGGAAGTAGACTGGAGTGCTGTTTTCAATAGAAAGGCCAGCACAATGAAGCATTTGGAGAATCAATGAATTAAAGGAAATTATATGTGCCAAGAGGTCAATAACACCTGCCCCCCAAAACTAGCTCCTAAAACAATGGGGTCACCTGACTGCAGAAATCAATGTACATCTATACAGGGAGAGTAAAGAATTGAATAGGCCAGGCTGGGTTTTGAGACGATAGTTGCTTCTACAATAGATCCTTCCTCATTCTAAACCCCTGCACGCACGCACACACACGGGACAGATTTTCAAATGTGATCAGCACCATCTGGGCAGATTTTTAGAAAAACTCAGCTCCTGTGAAGGCACTTGAATGAAGTTCCCAGGTTTTCAAGAGCGCTAAGTACACAGCCACTCACATTGTTTTCAATGAGGGTGGGACATTCTCCAGTGCCCTCAACAGTTGCTGTTGAGTGCTGAGCGCTTCTGAAAATCTGGGCAGGTTTTTCTGATGCCTAAATGGGAGGTCGCTTTAAAAATCCATTCCTAGCATACACATTCACCCAACTGCGTGTGCTTCCAAGTTATTTAAACTGAACAGACGACAGAAGCTGGGGGCTTGGATCCATCACAGACATATAGCCAGTGTGCACTGTACAGAGATAACTATTTTGACACATTGGATCCCTTCCCAAGGCATGTCATATGTTGGTCATTAAACATGAAATAAAAATAACAGATTAAGTACCATGGTGAAAACCTTTCCTCTGTAGATTGCAAGTGTGTCACCCCGATGCAAATAACCCTTTTGCTTTATAAAGACTAGTAAAAGTGAAAATATTATGCAGCAAAGGGTTTGTTGCTTACAAGTAACTCAAGAGAGCATATCTATTGATGCACTTCTTCACCAGCCAGTCCCCTGTAGTTCCGTTATTTTATTGTCTATATTTCAACATCAAACAGGCATGTTGGTCAAGTATTTAACAGCACCATGCTGGCCAGGCCAGGCTAGGATACAATTCATGTACTCCAATGGGAACACTTCACACCCAAGAAAGCACTTGGTAGCACGAGATGTCATTGCCGATAGACCTCATGGCAGCAGCTAGGTTTTACAGAAGTCAGGCATGTTAACTGGGCCATGCTAATGTGACATTCACTGCTGTCACTACTGTAACTCACCAGACTCTCTGTAAATCATGTCTAGTGATGTACATACCCACATGCTGTAAATGGCTGACAACCAGGCAGCACCGGTTTTCACGTAGTCAGGATCTTGTACACTGGGTTAGCGGGAAATGTATAAAAAGGTTCTTGTTTAACAAGATTCAGGCCATTTTCTTTCCATGAGACTATGCAGTGGAATCTAATTTTGAGGGCACTTGGAGCTCGGGAAGAGTGACTGCTTGAGCTGGGGAGAGATTTTTTACTTTTCTCGCGGCCTCTTGATCTTGGAAATTTGCATGCACTTTTGCCAAGAGGCTGCTGTTCTTACAATAAGAGGCACATCTGCATCTTTCATGGCGATTAGAAGAATTGGATGGCCCACGCACAGACCTGAAATGAGCAATTGCCCTACTGCCAAGAGCACTTAAGTAAAAAAAATAAAGCATGCACCCAAATCCCTTACTACCAGGGCCTTACCTAGCCATCAGATTTTAAGCTAGATTCCTATTGATTCCAGTCAGAGCCCTGTACATCTAACAATGCAGAGGAGCAGTACTGTTGGCTTCTTTTCTGTTCCTATCACCACTTGCTGCAGCTCCAAAAACTCCCTTACATACATTGCTCAGTTTCAGCCGTCTACTAGCACTCTACTAGCTCTGTGTAAGCTCCAAAGCTTGTCTCTCTCACCAACAGAAGTTGGTCCAATAAAAGATACATTACCTCACCCACCTTGTCTGGCTAATATCCTGGGACCGACATGGCTCCAACAACGCTGCATTTTAGTACTCAATCATTTGAATATAGTTTGCCCATCATCATAGTGTCAGTCCCCACTAGAGGGTGATTAAAACCTGGCCTCAATTCCAAAATGACGGGGTGGCTTTCATGAAAAGGGAAAACATGTAAAATATCCATTTGCTTCCTATGTGGAGACGTCTCATTAATTCTGCTAAGGAGTGAGGGAAAGGGTGCATAGCATTAATGGCACTCTGTGAACTAGCGCTTCACTTCTTAGCAAAACCAGCCTTTTTTCCCCCTCCGGGAATAAAGCTTGTGATTTAGAAATGATGAAAGCCAGTTGAGACGGCTGGCCAAGTCGGGTCACCAGAGAGATCTAGCCCTCCCTCCCTACGTCTGTGGACACAGCTTCAGTTCCTTGGAGCTAGGGCCAGACGCTGTGGAGAGAAAAGCCTGCATAGAGAAGGCAAAAATTCCAGCCTAAACTCTTTAGGCAAAATCCTGGCTCCTTTGAAGTCAATGAGAGTTTTGCAATTGGCTTCAGTGAGGTCAGGATTTCGCCCTTAGTGGCTGTTAGTTAAAAGGCCTCTTGCAATCAACATTCTTCTCTCCTTTAAAGGCAGTCTGCCCTCAAACGGCTAGACTGGTTCTGAGAGCGGCTGTTTCTTATTCCAGCAGCATGCCAAAAATGGCCGCTCTGAAACAAATGCGACTTAGCATAAGCATAGCCGAGTCCACGCGATAGGAGAGCAGACTGTGCGCAGCTTGGTTTGGAAGTAAGAGCAGTTTGGGCCTGGCGATAAAACAATGATCATTGCTTGAAGGATTGGACGGGGACATACGTACCCAGACGTGGCTATGTGGGCATCAGTATCCAAGGAGAAGAGGAGATTGGTGCCACAGCCAAATTGCTCCCTTCCTCCCCACCTCCCCCTGGGTTGTTTCCTAATTATTTCTGTTCCGTCAGCTGCAGTGAGCATCTTTAGTTCCCACCCACGCCCCAGGACCCTTGACAGTGCCAGTTCCCCAGAGAAGGCCCTGTGGCAGCTGTAGTAAGGATTCTGGCAAATCCAAGGTCAATAGCTGCCCGTTGCACGTCTAAGGAAGAACAGGGACACGGTATTGGAGTGACGGGGCTCAGGTCCAACCTGCGCTGAGTGACTGGAGGCACCCCAATATTACTCCAGCATCCCCTTAGCTAGGGGGCCCCAGGTGGTTGCCTGTTTGGCCGACGCATTAAGGTGCCCTGCTGGAAGACACCTAGGGGGAGTCCTAAAAGGGAAACTCTGCCAGCGTCTGGTTTTCAGATCAGTGGAATTTGGCTTATAAATCTTGACCGGGTCCTAATAAGCATCCATGTGCTGGCCATTAAGGCACTCGGAGTGAAAGGGGAGCCCCTGTGGGTTCCTTTCTCATTCTGGTCCCCTGCTCCCACCCTACGCTGGCTTTGCAGCCGCTCAGTTCCATTTTCAGAGCTTTCTGTCAAGCCGACTTCCTACTTGCTGGTCACTGAAAGGCATTTACACAGCTCAGGAAGCAGCTGAGCCTGTCTCCAGTAGCCCAAGTAGGAGAAAAGTACCATAGACAGGGAGCTTTGGCCCAGGACTGGAGCTAGGAGACCTGGATCTGCCACAGACTCTCCGAGGGCCTGATCCAGTGCCCAGTGAGGTCAATGGGACCCTGCCTGTTGCCATAGGAGCAGGCCTAGGTTGAAAATGGTTAGTTAAAAGTAGGCACCTAAAGCTGCATTGGGGCACCTAAATAATTGATTTCCTGAGGTGCTGCCTGCCCCTAGCGCCCCTGGGGAGAACGCTTAGGCCCCAGTTCTGCTAAAACCTATGTGTGTGCTTATCTTGAAGTCCATCAGGCTACTCACGGTGCTTAACGTTAAGCAAGTGCGTAGGTGCTTGCAGGACCAGCAACTAATTTAGGTGCCAAACTTTATGCACCCAGCTCTGACATTTCTTGCCTTTATCTCCCTGTGCCTCAGCGTCTCTAGCTCTAAACCAGGAACGGTGATACGCTCCTCAGCAAAGTGTGCTAAGATCTAGACACGCCACGCTCTAGCAGGGTGCCAGGTTTTTACACAAGCTGCACAGCAGGCTAGCAGCGCTCTTTTCCCCCCCCCCAATGCAGTTCAGCATTACAAAAGAGAGGCTGGAGGGCTATGCTGTTGAAATAGGGTTGGGGACACAGACAATATTTTATTTATATATTAAAAGAGGTGCTAAGCGTTTGTGCATTTTATGGCATCGGTGCTTTTTTAAATTGTGTATAAATTATTGTGATCGTAATAAAGAGGCTATTATTCCAAACATTTTTTTTTTTTTGCCTATAAAATGAAAACCCCAGAATCATCTGGGGGAAATAAACGTGTTTGTTAAATTATTTAGGGATTTTTATTTGTGGGTTAAGCTGTTCAGCCTGAATTAGTTTTTCACTGACACTTTAGTTGTTCAATTATTTTCCCTTCCTGACGTTTGTGAATGGTTCTTTTCAATTCAGTCTCATGGTGCTATTTTACTGAGCTTATTTTTTCCCCCTTGTTGTTAATGTGGGATTATTAAACTATTTAAAGTTGACCAGCTGCTCTGCTTGTTTATTTGGAAATGTGTGTGTTCAAAAACAAACAAGCCCCCGGAGAAGAGTAAACTGAATTATTTTGTGTTTTCCAACGCTACAATGTGTGCTGCAGCAGGGTCTAACTCGGATCCATAGGCCGAGCACAAGACCAGATGGGAGATGCCCCTAGCTGTAAGACTATCAGCTTCAGTAGACAGGAAGGATGGTGCAGTGGGCAAAGTGCTAGCCTGGGACTCGGAAGACTTGGATTCAATTCTCTGGGCATGTCTTCACAACCCGCCGGATCTGCGGGTAGCGATCGATCTATTGGGGATCGATTTATCATGTCTACACTAGATGCAATAAAATCGATCCCCGATCGCTCTGCCGTCGACTCCGGAACTCCACCACAGCCGCTGTCCTCACAGCCAGGTAAGTCGACCTAAAATACGCAACTTCAGCTACGCTATTCGCGTAGCTGAAGTTGCGTATTGTAGGTCGACCCCCCCCCATAGTGTAGACCTAGCCTCTGTGCTGCCACAGACTTCCTCTGGCATGTCACTTGGTGAACTGTGCTTCAGTTCTCATGGGGATGATCAATACACTGAAGATATCTTCTTTGAGAAGATAACTGATTTTTTAGACAAAGGGAATGCAGTAGATCTAATTTATCTGGATTTCAGTAAGGCGTTTGATACAGTTCCACATGGGAAATATTAGTTAAACTGGAGAAGACGGGGATTAATATGAGAATTGAAAGGTGAATAAGTAACTCATTAAAGGGGAGACTACAATGGGTCATACTGGAAGGTGAACTGTCAGGCAGGAGAGAGGTTTGTAGTATAGTGCTTTAGGGATCAGTCTTGGGATCAATCTTATTTAATATTTTTGTTACTGACCTTGGCACAAAAAGTGGGCACGTGCTAATAAAATTTGCAGACGACACAAAGTCGGGAGGTATTGTCAATACTGAGGAGGAGCGGAATATCCTGCAAGAAGATCTGGATGATCTTGTAAACTGGAGTAATAGCAATGGGAGGAAATTTAATTGTGCAAAGTGCAAGGTCGTGCACTTAGGGACTAACAACAAGAATTTTTGCTATAAACTGAGGACATGTCAGTTGGAAGCAACAGAGGAGGAGAAAGACCTGGGTTTATTGGGTGATCACAGAATGAGTATGAGCCGCCAATGTGGTGCAGCCATGAAAAAGGCCAATGCAGTTCTAGGATACATCAGGCGAGGTATTTCCAGTAGAACTAGGGAGTGTTAATACCGTTATACAAGGCTCTGGTGAGACCTTGTGTGGAATACTGTGTGCAGTTCTGGTCTCCCATGTTTAAGAAAGATGAATTCAAACTAGAACAGTTTCAGAGAAGGGCTGCTAGGATGAGCACCAGGATGGAGAATCTACCTTATGAGAGGAGAATCAAAGAACTTGGCTTGTTTAGCCTAACCAAAAGAAGGTTGAGGGTAGATAAGATTGCGCTTTATAAATACATCAGAGCGATAAATATCTGGGATGGAGAGGAGTTATTTAAGTTAAGCACCAATGTGGCCACAAGAAGAAATAGATACAAACTGCCCATTGACAAGTTTAGGCTTGAAATTGGATGAAGGTTTCTAGCCACTGGAGGAGTGAAGTTCTGGAACAGCCTTGCAAGGGGAGCAGTGGGTGCAAAAAACCTAATTGGCTTCAAGACTGAGCTTGATAAGTTTATGGAGGTGATCATAGAATCATATAGTATCAGCGTTGGAAGGGACCTCAGGAGGTCATCTAGTCCAACCCCCTGCTCAAAGCAGGACCAATCCCCAACTAAATCTATGAGACTACCTACAATGGCATGTAGCCATCTGTGACTGCTAGCAGCAAGTATATCCAATGGCCAGTGATGGGACACTAGCTGGGGAGAGCTCTGAGTTACTACAAAGAATTCTTTCCAGGTGTCTGGCTGATGGGTCTCACCCACGTGCTCAGGATCTAACTGATCACCATATTTGGAGTTGGGAAGGACTTTTTTCCTGGGTCAGATTGGCAGAAACCCTGGGGGTGGTTTTTTTTGTTTTTTTTTTTTTTTTGCCTTCCTCTGCAGCATGGGGCCTGGGTCACTTGAAGGTTTAAATTTATGTAAATGGTGGGGGTCTCTGTAACTTGAAGACTTTAAATGACGATTTGAGGACTTCAGTAACTCATCCAGAGGTTAGGGGTTTATTACAGGAGTGAGTGGGTGAGTTCTCTGGCCTGCAATGTGCAGGAAGTCAGACTAGATGGTCATGATGGTCCCTTCTGGCCTTATAGTCTATGCATCTCTGAGGTATTCAGATATGAAGGTAATAGGGAAAGCCATATAAGTACCTAAGATAAATAGGGATCAGGTCATGACATGCCTAGTGGAGCCATACTGCCCCCTATAGACAGGTTTGTTCTGACCAGAGATGCTGAAACAGCTTCCTAACTTGGAGCATAACCTCAGTTATACAGTGACACCCAGCATTAGTACCAACTGCAAATCATTCATGGATCTTCTCATCCGATTTAAAGCCAGGTTCTGCGCTGAAAGGGACTCAGTGAAAATGGTGTTTTCCTAACAGATCTGCTATGTGTGTGTTTTCAGAGGTGCTTAGAATGAAATTCACTTCTTTGCAGAGAGCCATGTCAGACAAAAGTATTCTTGCCAGCAAGTTAAAAAAGTATGGATTGGATGAAGGGACTATAAGGTGAACAGAAAGATGGCTAAATCGTCAAGCTCAATGGGTAGTGATCAATGGCTCGATGTCTGTTTGGCAGCCAGTATCAAGCGGAGTGCCCCAGGGGTCGGTCCTGGGGCTGGTTTTGTTCAACATCTTTATTAATGATCTGGATGACGGGATGGATTGCACCCTCAGCAAGTTCACAAATGACACTAAGGTGGCAGGAGAGGTAGATACGCTGGAGGGTAGGGAAAGGGTCCAGAGTGACCTAGACAAATTGGAGGATTGGGCCAAAAGAAATCTGATGAGGTTCAACAAGGACAAGTGCAGAGTCCTGCACTTAGGATGGAAGAATCCCATGCACCACTACAGGCTGGGGACTGACTGGCTAAGCAGCAGTTCTGCAGAAAAGGACCTGGGGATTACAGTGGACAAGAAGCTGGATATGAGTCAACAGTGTGCCCTTATTGCCAAGAAGGCCAATGACATATTGGGCTGCATTAGTAGGAGCATTGCCAGCAGATCAAGGGAAGTGATTGTTCCCCTCTATTTGGCACTGGTGACGCCACTTGTGGAGTATTGCGCCCAGTTTTGGGCCCCCGACTAAAGAAAGGATGTGGACACATTGGAGAGAGTCCATCGGAGGGCAACAAAAATGATTAGGGGGCTGGGGCATATGACCTATGAGGAGAGGCTGAGGGAACTGGGCTTATTTAGTCTGCAGAAAAGAAGAGTGAGGGGGGATTTGATAGCAGCCTTCAACTACCTGAAGGGGGGTTCCAAAGAGGATGGAGCTCGGCTGTTCTCAGTGGTGGCAGATGACAGAACAAGGAGCAATGGTCTCAAGTTGCAGTGCGGGAGGTCTAGGTTGGATATTAGAAAAAACTATTTCACTAGGAGGGTGGTGAAACACTGGAATGGGTTACCTAGAGAGGTGGTGGAATCTCCATCCTTAGAGGTTTTTAAGGCCTGGCTTGACAAAGCCCTGGCTGGGATGATTTGGTTGGGGTTGGTCCTGCTTTGAGCAGGGGGTTGGACTAGATGACCTCCTGAGGTCTCTTCCAACTCAAATCTTCTATGATTCTATGAAAACAGGGTTTCATTGGTCCATAAGTGGTGCATAGACCTTGTGCTGGCTCCCTGCACAGGAGAGTGCATTTCATCCTTTAGAGACTGAAATACATTTTTAGTGCTCTTAGCCCTGCAGAACCAACATGGCTAAGAAAGATAGAGCTGCATCCCATCCTTCTTGTGCATCACCCACAGAATTGTTTGCCAAAACAGTTGCATCTGTGCAAGCCCTCTTTACACTTGGGCTCATGAAAGCGGTGTAGGGAGCACACAATGACAATCTGACAAAAATGCATGAGAACAAGAAGGGTGCAAGATTCCTGAGGAGCACTTAATCAGCCTGCAGGCTGATTTACTCCTTCTCATAACACAAGAGCTAGGGGCCATCAAATTAATAGGTAGCAGGTTTAAAACAAAAAGGAAGTATTTTTTCACACAAGGCACAGTCTACCTATGGAACTCCTTGTCAGAGGATGTAGTGAAGGCCAAGACTAGAATAGGGTTCAAAAAAGAACTAGATAAATTCATGGAGGATAGGTCCATCAATGGCTATTAGCCAGGGTTGGCACGGATGGTGTCCCGAGCCTCTGTTTGCCAGAAGCTGGGAATGGGCTATAGGGGATGGATCACTTGATGATTACCTGTTCTGTTCATTCCATCTGGGGCACCTGACATTGGTCACTGTCGAAAGACAGGATACTGGACTAGATGGACCTCTGGTCTGACCCAGTATGGCCGTTCTTATGAAGGCGAAGCATGGTCTGTAGGTGACAGTAGACCCCTAAAGGCAGATGGAGCCTTCCACCTTGACTTCAAACTGGAATAGGTACAAAGAAGGCTACTAGTGTGATGGAGACCCTATCTTTTGAGAGGAGGCTAACAGCGTTTGGCTTGCTTAACCTTGTGAACTGAAGGCCGAGGGAATGTGACTGCTGTCTATAAATACATCAACGGAGTCAACAGCAGGGAAACAGAAGAGCTTTCTAAGCTAAAAGCCAAAGTTGGCACAAGAGCAAATGGGTATAAACTAGTCATGAAGAAATTTCATCTGGAAATTAGAAAATTTCTAACCATCAGAGGAGTGAAGCACAGAACAGCCTCCAGTAGGAGTAGTGGGGGCAACTTAATGAGTTTCAAGATGGAGCTTGATAAGTTGATCAACAGGATTATAGGAAGTCCAGTCCCTGTGATAGCAAGCGTCTGGACTCGATGATGCAGGAAGTCCCTGCCAGGCCTCTGCCCTACGTTCCTAAAACACAG